ACTGGGAAATGATTACATTATTGGACTATAGGACTACAAGGTGGTTATAGGTCATATACCAAACACTGTACAATGGCTTTGAACGTGGCTCAGTCAGTCAGTCCTTAAGGCTGAAACTATCCACTGCATGATGTTCTATTAAAATCACTCTATAAACATTATTTCACTAAAAGAGACAACCACAAAAGTAAGAAGAAAAAAAGACCCATCTGCTCTGAAGGCACTTTGTGTGTATTACAAATGATTTGTCTTTTAAAATAATGATTTGTTTGCGTTAATTATGCTGCACCAGGCACTGCAGTCTTGCTTTGGGAATTGTACATTCATCAAAACATAAAAGCAAAATAAAAGCTAGCATTCCCTTTTTATTCTGTAGCAGAAAAGTGCTGTATTGTAGTAAAAACACCGTACATATTACTGTATTGCTACACCCCTGATATGTGGTGTGGTTTACCATCATAACAATAACATCATCACAATAACAACAGTTTGTAGCACCAGAGCTGATGATTTACTGTCATTAGGAGCCTGTAGGAGTTGTAGGAAGGAAAGAAAGTGTATAGTAAATAATGGATCCCTCTTCAGTGCTGGGTGAATAAGCTGTCTCTTGCTCTGTCTGCAGTGCTGTGCAATGTGTGCAATGCTACTGGCATCCAGACTGACACCCATTTAGATTGTGCTTGTAGCCAGTTCACATGCTGTTATATCTAGAGTGGAGTGGAGCTGAGAGGACTGAGAGAGGATGCTGAGTGTGTGTACAGGCCTGTGGAGAAAGAGGAGCGTGTGCAAGGAAGCATCAGCTAGAGAGAGAAAAACAGATGGACAGAGATACACAGGAGAGAAGCTTTGCTTTGTATGTAGACCATTCTGCTAAATTAGTTCAAACTGTGGACCCACAGTGAGAAAACTAAAAACCTAAAAAACAAATAAGTATTCTGGCCTCAGATATTTACTAGGACTGTGTTATGATCTATGTAAATACAGATCATTATCAGAGATAGTAATAAGCTAAATATGTACAAAATGATAATTTATATGGTATTTTCTATTGAGAGATGTCTGTCTTGAACCCTAATCCCTACAGTCACACTTGTGAAAATAATACTTTTTTTGTTTTAATGTTTTTGAAGATCTCTTTGGACCCTCCCAGAGCAGGTACTGTTTGGGTGGTGGGTCATTCTCAGTAGTAACACTGACGTGGTGGTGTGTTAGTGTGTGTTGTGCTGGTACGAGTGAATCAGACACAGCAGTGCTGCTCTAGTTTTTGTAAACACTGTGTCCACTTACTGTCCACTCCATTAGACACTTCTGCCTTGTCAGTCCACCTTGTAGATGTAAAGTCAGAGACGATAGCTCATCTGCTGCTGCACAGTGCGTGTTAGTCATCCTCCAGTCTTTCATCAGTGGTCACAGGATGCTGCCCACAGGACGCTGTTGGCTGGATATTTTTGGTTGGTGGACTATTCTCAGTCCAGCAGTGACACTGAGGTGTTTAAAAACTCCAGCAGCACTGCTGTGTCTGATCCACTTGTACCAGCGCAACACACACTAACACACCACCACCACCACGTCAGTGTTACTGCAGTGCTGAGAATGATCCACCACCCAAATAGTACCTGCTCTGTGAGGGTCCATGGGGGTCCTGACCATTGAAGAACAGGGTGAAAGGGGGCTAACAAAGTATGCAGAGAAACAGATGGACTACAGTCTGTAACTGTAGAACTACAAAGTGCACCTATATAGTAAGTGGAGCTGATAAAATGGACAATGAGCGTAGAAACAAGGAGGTGGTCATAATGTTATGCCTGATCAGTATATATATATATATATATGAATAAAGAGAGAAAAAAAAGAAAAAAGATGATGAGAAAATGAAGATGAAGGTGATGAAAATATAAGCTTGAAATGAAAGAGCAAATGTGTGCATGTAGGTGCTGTGTGTGTGTGTGTGTGTGTGTGTGTGTGTGTGTGTGTGTACACATCTATATGTGATAGTCTTGGGCTCATGTCATCCACTTCAAAGAGAATAACTGTAGAGCCTAATCTCTGATCAAAGCCAGCTTGGCTGGAGTGCTTGGATTTCCCTCTGATTTCTCACTGTAATTCCTTCCCTTTGTGAATCCCACTGTAATTACTACCGTAATTACTACTGTCATTCTCACGGTAATTCCCACTGTCATTCCTGCTGTAATGTCCACTGTCATTTGCACCGTAATTCCCACTGTAATTGAAATGGTCATTCCTACCGTAATTCCCCTTGATATTCCTGCTGTACTTCCTACGGTCACTCACAATGGCATTACCACCGTAATTCCCATTTTAATGCCCACTGTCTTTTCTACACTCCTTCTCATTGTCATTCCTCTTTCTTATTACCACTGTAAATCCCACTGTCATTCCTATTATAATTCCTGCTGTCATGCCCATTGTAATTCCCTCTGTTATTACCACTTCAATTCCCACTATAATAGTATTAGCCCTCTACTTGCATCTCTCTCAGCCAGAACAGGTTATCCTCACATATTCAGGACTTGCTGTACAGGGGACTGAGGACTAAGACTAAAATGATTTTTTAAAAGAACAATTTCAGCAGACATTGGTGTTACTACTTTGTCCCAGAGAAGAAGGAAAAATACACTAAACGTTTGTAGAGCACGATTTTTCCATTCTATGTTGCATAAAGGCCTGTAGCTGTTCATGCATGAGTCCACGAGACTCAAAGTGATTCACTTGTTTCCTCTCCACCCTGCCTCTGTCTTTCTCTTCCTCCTTCTACCTGTCTCTTGTGCCCTAACTTAAGTTCACTCTTCCCTCCCCCCACTCCCTCTCTGTCGGGACCCATGGGAGCGCCTCAGAAAGTTTTCTTTTTTGTTGTTCTAGAGGGAAGATATAAGTGCACTTCACAGTCCCTGATTGACGTTGCTGTTTCTGCTCTTGCATAGACGCGACTCCCATCACGGCTGGAAAGCTCTTTTTCAGCCTCGCTTCACTTGTGACTGACTGACATGCACCCGCGCGCCCCTCCCTCCCCTGGGTCAGCTGTAAGCACAGGGAGAGAAGGAGTCTCTGTGCAGAAGAATGATTTGAGGACAGCTTGTGGGAAAACATTTACATGGCCATTCTGTTTCTAGAAAAAGCTACTGAGCAAGCTTCGAGATCTACATCTGTATATACAAAATATTTTTGACATTATGATGAAGTGTTATAGTTGTATGCTAAGGTTTGGGCATCCCTGGTTAAATTACATGCTTTGTTGTTTTCCAAGTGATTTTCTAAGTGTTTATTTGCTGACATTGAACATACTGGGCAAAAAAAAACCTAAAAATGTGGGCGGTGCAAACGTTATGGACATTTTGTATTTTATATTATGTATATTTTATTTTTTCCAATATGTTAAAATCAGCAAATAAAAAGAAATCGTGCACTACAATTTGCAGAAAACTGCCACTGTTCTTTTGAAGCTTGTTCCCTGTAGAGGATGTGTTACTTATTTTCACTCAGAAATGTTCAACAAAACATGTGATTTGACCAGGGGTGTTCAAACGTTTGCATACCAGTGTACAAACTACTTTTTGCATACCATAAAAAAACTGCTAATACTAGTACTTATAAGGCATTCTTTCCCCTAAGTACACTACTGTTCCAGTGTTTGGAATCATGTGTGATATTAATAATTGATGTTTACTGTATTAAATAATAATTTCTATAGTTCTATAGTGCAGAAGTTATTACGTCTCTAGTGTAGACTGACATATTATAAACTTCAAAGGGTATTTTTAGATATTTGACATATATGCCATTTGACAAACACTCTGATCCAGGCTTACAGTTCAATCATGTTACAGATGGGGGCGAATGCTGTGTTAGGACTCTTATTGGTTTAGCATGTTTTTATCTGGGTAGGGAAATCGAACCCCAGTCTGCTCCATGGAGGGCAGCAGTGTTACCCACTTTGCTATCATAGCAATCTGTTGCTGGTTGACGATGCCTCAGAGAAAGTCAGCAGGCATGGCCATACAATTGGACTTTAATGTTGTTTGAATGTCATTACTTATTAGTGTAAAGAAGAGTTTTATGTTATTTGTGGTTTATTGTGCCTGGGGTTGTGGGTGTTTTGCATTGCTGGTTGGTTACTGTGAGGATAAAGCCTATGGCTAGTGGTGACCTCCCCCACGGGTTCAGTGCTTTGTATGTGCCTTTCTGCTGATGTTTTAATAAAAAAGTACTCCTCCTTTGCCAATGCCACACTGGGGTCAGAAGTTGGACAGTGCCATCCAGCAGTCTGCAAAGAACTTCAAGGTGAACGGTGAGAGAGACAGCTTGGCAAGAGACAGTGATGGTATGGACAGTGCTGCGAGGCAACACCACACTATTTTTATACTGATTTGTAGTCATTTTCAATCTTCTCAAGTTGTCTGCCTTGGGAAGTTCAGCATTTTTCAAATATGAAGCATGTTAACTTTCTACATTTAGAATAATCCAGGGGTCTGTTCATCAGTCTGGACACATCTAACAGTTCTTAATTTTCACAGATTTCTACAAATTAAACCTATAAATCTGTAGAATACCAGCGTTACATATCAGTAATGAAAAAGTTGGATAAATCAATGTTCAAAACAGTGTATAGAAATTTAAAACTATCAGTGATAAGCCTGAATATGTATGGCCCATATTCCAAACTTCTGAACAGTAGTGTACGTTTACTGGGGAGACCTACTTTTTTAATGTTGAGTACAATATGTGCTGCTGAAATATTGCCTTGCTCCTATTGCGTTAGCGAAAATGTTGAAACTCTACCTGCTGTTCCCCATTTATCTCCCCCCCACACCTCAGCTTGTTCTGTTATGCTGTATTCAAAGCCTGCGAAAGAACTGCACTGAAGAAAGTGATGCACTGTTTGTACCTGATTTGAAAGTTTAATCAGGTTTCAAAGCAGCTGCAAATGAAGTAAAGCACTCTGAAGGTGAGGGGGAGGGGGAGGGGTCAGAACACTGTCATACCTGTTGCTGTCCCTGACTCTTGATGAAGTCGTCTCTCTGTTTGCCCAGTTTACTCTTCTCAGATCCGCCCTGCTGAAGATGCTTTAGACGAGATATCGCTTTACCACTACCAGACTGAAAGAGAGATAGATAGATAGAGAGAGAGACAGAGAGAGAGAGAGAGAGAGAGATGGAGAGAGAAGAACTGTATTAAATTACTAATATACAAGTGGTGCTGTCTGTATTATCAGCAGTGAGAATGTGTTCTCCTGTTGTCTAATTTACAGTGAGACTGTGAAGAAGAAGGAAGCAGCAGGAAGGTGGAAACGGAATATAAACGTCACGAGTTCACAGTGTATATATATATATATATATATATATATATATATATATATAACTACATAATACATCCTTAATACAACTTACATAAGTATCTATATGTAAACATAATATGTTCTGTAAGTATGTATATGTAAGCACCTTTATGCAAGTCCTGCATGTATTATTACATACGTTCCTTTGTAAGCACAATGTGTCCCATACGTATTTTATACAACATAATATGCCCCATATATATTAACCCTATGTATTAAGAACCAAACCCCAACCTTAACTGCTATAACTAGAAAGAAACGTGTGTGTTGTTTCAGTTTTAAGAAATAAAACTTTCTTGGTAAAAAAACTTTAAAGAGTTGGGAGCATTTTGTTGCTCCTGCAGTTTAGCCCTGTTTCTCTCTGGTGAAAACATTTTTGTTCAGAAAAGAATAACACACTATCACAGCTGGGTACTGACTCAGAAAAATATTCCACCTCCAAAGCCTGGGAAATAATAACAGCTCTGTCTCTCAACCTATTTCCCAGTCAATTTTCTGACCATTAATACTTCTTTCCCCTGTCTGTCCAGTGACTTAGCCAGAGCAGAGGTCAGCTGATTGAGTCTCTGTGGATGTGCCCGGCTGTAATGAGGTAAACCTGCTGTACCAGATCGCTTAGATAGCTCAGATAGCCTGACGAAACCACACACAACAATTCTGCAACCAGTCTGACAACCAGGACTGAAGGAAACTCTCAGAAGAATGACGGGAGAGAATGACATGCAGCAATACAGACATGCATGATAAATCTTAAAAATGTTCAATTATACAGGAGTTCATTACAACCACACAGCCTGATCAGCTGAGAAATGAACTTGTGTAGTTTGATAACAGCATGTTATGTTTTCACCATGTCTGCATTATTCCCTGACCACCAGTTCCGAGGTAACAAAACGGTCAGTTCACTCTAAGGTAATGAAAAACATTCGAAACTATATTTGCGGATTCTTCGCTTCCCTTTTTTCTTTACTTTCTCTTTCTTTACAAACCAAATGCTGTTTAAAAGTAAAGGAACACTTTTAGTTATGTGTTATCACAACAAACACACTCTCTTTCATGCTCTGTTGCTAAATAAATGTGTCTAACCATGATAAAATCCCATTCAGCCTAATGGGAAAAGATAAGGCACAACTCAATTCTGTCAAAATACCTACATCTACAGTATGTTGTTAATTTTAAATTGGATATTTTTTGAATGCATTTTTTGTCATGTAACAATCAGATGGTGGCAAATTTGTTGTTCCAAACTGCTCAGTCTCAATTAACTAATGTAGTCCAGTTTAGTAGCGTAACATTTTTAAAATTAAAACAACAATATGTAGCAAAGCTAAACTGCAAACTATGTTCAGACAGACAAGTTCTTGCCTGGTTTAGCTCATAACTGACACACTGCTTTAAAATATATCTTTAAACAGGGAGTTTCCATAACAGAGAAGGGTGCAATATGGTGTCCCACAGGGCTCTGTTTTAGGGCCCTTACTGTTGTCCCTATATTTACAGATTCTTAGGACATATAATGTGCAAACACAATGTTGGTTTTTCTCATCACTTTTATGCTAATGATACACAGAACCTAAATCGTTTTCCAGTGCAACAAATGGTACAAAGACTTTGCTGTAACACTGGATGCTAGTTTATCATTTGTGTCCCATATCAATAATATCTCTAAAGCTTTGTCCACACATATCTGGATAGTTTCTCTAAATCTTTTTGAAAGGTCTCACTTTTGAGAACACAAAAGTGACCAGAGCACATCAGCCCCGCAGGGGGCGATAAAACCTCATAAAATATGACATCAAACACCTCCGGAAGAACACACTACGCAAAATATACGTCGTGAAGCTAAAGCAGAGTTTTCTAACACAGTATCACACAAATTCAAAGTCTGATTTCTGCCAGAAAATAAAAGCATAACATGTGAAAAACAGCCTGCTGCTGTGGGGGTTGTTTACATTGCCATGGCTATGCCACAGTCTCAGAAATGTCCACTCCCTTCTGATTAGGCAGAGAAGTGAGTTTTTGTAGCTTGTCACTCCATGTGAATGAGAAATTTAGGATTAGGATTAGAGTTAGGATAAGACAGATGCTAATCCTACAATGCTGAGAAATTAGCTCATGCCAGGCAGAAGCTTCTGCGTAACAGGACTTTTAAGGGAGAGACCTACTGATGAACACCTATCAGTTCTATATGTTTCTGCTTGAAACAGTACAGTACAGTGTGTTCACTGTTAATATACACATACATGAAATGTGAAAATGATCTTGTCGTTTAAAAGAAGCAAAATCTTTCATAGAATTGAAACCTCTAGATTCGTCTACTGTTACGTTTCCTGGCTCTGAAGAGGCTTGATCAATGCCAAATGAATGCCTCTATGTTGAATTGAATAGCCTCTATCTTTTTAATAAAGAAAGTCCTCCAAATGGACAAAGCCCCTGGTAAGAGCCTGAACTCATACATACTTGACAGACAATCACTCTGGCATAATAGCAAGGCCTACTAAACCTCGAACAGGCATGATGCCAGCTAAAAAATTTACCTTGACTCAACAGTTGAAGCAGAGCAGACTTAAAACTATCTAGCTTGAATTTTACTGTCTATAATTAAGACATAAATACAGAGCCAGACCACACTATCACTGAGATAGAAGGTCAGACCCAAGCAGGCTGTCATGGGAAGTAAAATAAAGATAACCCAAGACCTTGCAGTGTTTGAAAGGAAACGAGCGAAGGAGAATAAGGGAGAAGCAAAAGCAGTTTATTTCCGTGATGAGACAGTTATGGCCATGGTTACAGAGAGCGAAAAGGAGAGGAGAAAAAAGACCAGTTTAATCACCATTGAAAACAACCCAGACCCGCTGTGTTAAAGAGGAGAGAGCGTGAGCATCAATATATGTATAGAGAGAGAGAGGGACTGAACGTCTCTTTAAGAAAGTAAACAGTAGACATTAAGGGTGTAAATCTCTGATTTGACTTGATTGCCATTTTTCAGGAAATAATTAATTGAATTCAGAATCATGTAAAGAAATATACTGAATATACACAAATGAGACTGGAAGAACTATTTCCATCATCGTCGAATATATAATTTCAAAAACTACACTAAACTTCTAAAATTACTTTTGTTTTTTTTTATTTTTATCGGTATCTTGAAATTTAGTGTATTTATATGAATTTGGTTCATATAAATACATACTATTCTACATACGGACTTCATAACATATGAATGAGCATTGAATGATGTATTTAAAAAGCAATATCTAGGCATTAACAGCTTATATCAGCATTCATAAGATGGCATATGATATTGACCCTGTATTGACATAAGAGCTCTTAAACTTAAGTGATGGACATTTATTACTTTTATAACACTGTTTTGAAATATCATTCCAAAGTAATGGAACATTTAAGGCAGAGGCCTAGTTAACCCTTTAAAATCCCAGACTTATTACATGCTTTTTATTCAGTAACAACAGGGATTTCATTGCAAACTGGTTGAGCTATTCTTAGGTTATAGAAGTGTGTAATAAAACTTTGGGTTCATTTGCAGCCCCATGGTCATTTAAGGGGTTAAGAACACTGTATGTATATGTTCCATTACAGTGTTATAGATGGAGCAAATGTCTGCAACATTAGTTTTAGAACTCCTAATGTAAATACCATGTAATTTACTCAAGCAATGCTTTATAAATGCATTATTAAATGCTTATGCCTGTGTTATGAAGTCCTTATGTGGATAGCCCTCAAATAAAGTGTCAGAATTTTGTTTTTGGCTTAAAAAATTAGATATACATACATATAATAATTAGTTATAACATTCCAAATTTCAGTGCGGGTGGGTCACCACCTGCAGATGCGTTTTACACCCCTATTGGGGAGCAAACTGTAGGAGGACGTGGAGAGGCAGAACCCCAGGAGAAAGCCCAGAGAAAGAAGGAGATGTTAACCGATGAGTGTGGGGCTGAACCTTGGTTAAATCTGTGCTGATGGAAGGTTTGGGTGGGACAGGGGGTCTCTGGGACTCTCCTGGGCTCTTCACTCTGGGTTCAGAGGGAGAGGCGGCACTGCTGGACCTCTGTAGCTGGCTAGAGGCAGTGGGACACTCTGCAGAAGGGCCGTGAGGCTGAGGTAGGGTTGGATAGTGTCCCATGTTGGGATGAGTGCTGAACTCCATCAGGCTGAGCTCCAGCTCACGGATGGTCTCCTCCAGACTGTCCAGACGGCGGTAGGTGCTGTGTTTAATGTCCTCCTTACCGGCCTCCTGGCCAACTCCTTGGGTGCGGGTCACACTTCCGAGGGCTTTTGAGGGCTCATTTGGTTCTGGCATCGTTCTTCTCTGTGGGAGCATCCCTGGTCTCAGATCTCCCTCACCCATGTCTGTTTGGTCCTCTTTCTCAAAAGACTCTTGGATCCTCAGCTCAATCTTCCTTGGCTGTTTCTCTGCCTTCTCCTCAGGCGAGGCTGAGGGTGTCCCAGACACAGCCGGAAAACTCCTCAACCTTCCCTGGAACTCCTTCTGGTCCCTGTCCAAATTCTGCAACTCAGAACGCTTTTTTTGACTGGCTGCCAAGTCCTGTTTCCATAGAGACAGACTAGGAATCTTAACGATGTGGCTAAAGTAACTGAGAGCGATGTCACTTCCTGTGTTTCTGTCCCTCTGTGGCACGTTGGAAAGCTTTTCCATGTCAGAAAAGCTTCCTCGCTCTGAGCTCTCAGTTGGGGAAGTGGGAAGAGAAGTGCATTCTGTCAAAACTATCTGAGGGACTGAGGTGGAGGAGGATGGGCCACGCTGAGCCTGCAAGGCAAAAGTCCACAATTACACATAAAGACAAGCTTTTTGGATAAAGTGCTATTCCAGCTGGATTAGTTTTACCAGAGGAGGTTGTGGAAGGCCACAGCAGAAAGTGTCTATGTAATTTCCATAAACTCCACAAATTCCAGCATTACTGCACACTCAATAACAATAACAACATGGCTGTGTCTATTAGCAGGGTTAGTTAATTTATTAGTGTAGATCGGAAAAGGACTACTATTACTTAGCGAGCTCTGGGTTCAGCCAATTACAGAAGATTATACACAATTATTACTGTGAGACTGTAAAAATTGCAGATTCATACTGGATTAAAATTACTCCACAATTATTACCGTTAGGCTGTAAAAGCTACATATTCATACTGAATATAAACTCCCTCCACAATTATTAATGTCAGGCTGTCAAAACTACACATGCCACAGATTCATACTGGATTAAAATCGCTCCAAAATTATTACTGTAAGACTGTAAAAACTACACAAACTGCAGATTCATACTAGATTAAAATCGCTTCACTAGTATTAGTGTAAGACTGTAAAAACTACACAAACTGCAGATTCATACTAGATTAAAATCGCTTCACTAGTATTAGTGTAAGACTGTAAAAACTACACAAACTGCAGATTCATACTGGATTACAATCACAGATCTCATTGAAACTCACCTAAATTATAATGCCTCCCTAGGTAAAATGAATCCAGCTTGAATAAAGCTTCATTTTTAATTCCAAGACCTTGCATATTGTATGTATATCTTACATACACTGCGATGCTAACCTGCAAGTAAGCTGCTACCTTGGTCTTTGAGTTGCTGGTTGTTACACACTAATATTAGTTTGTTTTACATGTAAACTGTCTTTTATTTCTTTCTGGCTCATAACGTGAGCTCTCAGTGATGACACATTAGATTTATTAAATGCATTGAATATAAATATAGTACATAAACAGGTAGCATTAAGGAGTTGGTCTCTTACCTGTGTGTCCAGTTTTGTTTCACTGATCCGGTCATGTAATCTTCCCTGAGACTGTGTGAACTGCTGATATAGGAACATGCAGAGTGTGACACCTCTAATACACACACACACACACACACACACTTAGCCAGAATATTACACTCTCACAACAACCTGGAACATTACATGCACAAACACACAAATACAGGCATACATGAAACTCAGCTGCAACAACGTCTTCAAACCAGACATGCACTGGAGCTCAAAAGTGATTTTTGGGTGGGCTCTTGTGCGGGCAGCATGTGGTGAATTTGTGTGTTTGTGTGTGTGCATACATTAGTGTGTAACTGTCATATATCTGTGCATGTTTGCTATCAAGCACCGTAAGGCACAATCAAGGGGACATTTGTGTTGATGTGGACTTTTTAAAGGAACAACAAGTACAGTATTGTGGAAAAATCAGAGATCACCATTCATTTATGTCATTTCCAGTCAAAATGACAATTAAGCACAAGTTACTCATTTCCAATGTCAAGGAAAGAAGCAGAAAACAAACGCTATATGGATGAATGCCTGCCTGACTGCATTGTGCCAACTGTAAAGTTTGGTGGAGGAGGGATAATGCTATGGGGTTGTTTTACAGGGCTTGGCCTAAACTTGGAAAGAACCTTCTGTTCCAGCATGACTGAGCCCCAGTGCACAAAGCAAGTTCCATAAAGGCCTGGCTGGGTGAGTTTGGTGTGGAAGAACTTGACTGGCCCTCACAGAGCCCTGACCTCAACCCCATCAAACACCTTTGGGATGAACTAGAATGGAGATTGTGAGCCAGGCCCTCTCGTCCAACATCAGTATCTGACCTCACAAATGCTCTTCTGGATGAGGCAAAAATTCCCACAGACACTCCAACATCTTGTAGAAAACTTCCCAGAAGAGTGGAAGCTGTTATAGCTGCAAAGGGGGTCCAACTCCATATTATTGCCTATGGATTTAGAATGGGATGTCATAAAAGCTGCTGTAGGTGTGATGTGTAGATGTCCCAAAACTTTTGTCCACATAGTGTCCATTTAAGAATTTTCAGGAGACTCACTTTCAGTTTTCCACAGTAATCTGCATCTTAAAGTTCAGTCTTAGAAGTTGGGTACATTTTCTGCTTCTTACAATCCTAGTAATCTCAAACACATGCAGTGAAGTTGAGGTCTGGACTGTGGGGTGTTCAGTCCATTGTTCTGAGAACACCAGCAGCTTCTTTGTTTGGTGTGTCTCCTTTTCTCAGTAAGAGCTTCTTGGCAGCCACACATCCCTTCAGACCCATAGCGCTGAGCTGTCTTCTCACAGTGGAAGGATGGACAGAAACACCTGTGGACGTTTTCAGATCTGAAGCAGCTTGATTTTCTCCTCTCTCTCAAAGATGAGCTTTAAGTGATGTTTATCTGATGGGGACAGTCTTGGTGGTCTACCAAGTCTTGAGAATTAGGAATTCTGTAGCTTTTAAAAGTTTATCACTTATTTTCCTTTTACTTGACTTCCTTATGGAAGCGTATTATCTGCTGAAAAATCAATCATTTGTACTTAATGGCTGTTTTGCCTGGAAGTTAAATAAATGAAGGGTGGTCTCTGACTTTCCTAGCACTGTAAGTGTGGAGGAAACAATCCATCTCTCTGCACACACTTGTATGTGTGTCAGCAGAGGGCAGCAGTCCACGCAGGTTCACACTGAGGGTCGTTACCTGTCCTGCTGCAGTAAGCAGGTGCAAGCTGGAGGGGGGAGAGAGGATCCTGGAAAGGGGACGGGGCTTTTGGAGGGGGAGGGAGGGGCTGAGACGCTCTCCACACAGAGCTCGCTCAAACTGCTGGGGGGTCACAAGAGCGTATGAGAAACAGAGAAAAAAACAGCTTAATAAATTCTAAGCATAAAGGTCAAATACTGGAGCACACTCATCAATAGTGTAAGCTTCTTCATCTAATAAACAGAGCAGCACTGTTCCAGCCCCAGAGTTTGCATTTGTAGGAAGACCTTATGATATATACTCCATTCAAGAAGTCTGAACAACGTGGGGGGGGCTGTGATATACTGCACTGGGTTTTCCATTACAGGTGCACTTTGTAGGTGCACAGTTACTGACTATAGCCTATCTGCTCTACTCCATTCATCAATAGAAAGGAGTGGACCACTGCTGACCAGATATTACACACATCAATGTCACTTGGGTTGAGGGTAGTCCACCCAGGGGTGTTGGCTGCATATAAAGATCCAGGGTCTAGTTCAGTTTATTGCAGGATTGTTCTGGAATATTGTCCTCACACTTTTTATACCCTGTAAAATATGCAGTTGCTACTTTTTAATTTAATATGAAGATTTACAACAACAAAACATGCAGGGATTCAGCAATGATTGGCATGTCTTCCAAATTCCATAGCAATGGCCTAACAGCGCATTAGCAACTACCTGGGATAACCCTGCCAACAGCCTAGCACCACCTTAACAACTGCCTGGGATTCCATAGCAATAGCCTAGCAATGCCTTAGAAACCACCTGGGATACTATAGCAACATTCTAGCAACACCTTAGCAACCACCTGGGATTCTATGGCAATGGCTTAGCAACATCTTAGTAACCACCTGGCATAACATTGCAGCACTTTAGCAACCACCTTGGATGCCATAGCGATGACTTTGCAACCATCTGGGATTTCACAGCAATGCCTTTGATGAGATAAAGTCTTCTAGCTTTTCTGCTTTTCTGTGTTACTTACAAAGCCCCTTTAGACGTCCATGCATAGACTATTTCCTCAATATGTCACAAAGGTGACGTGTGTTATACAGTCACTGACAATAAATCAACACAGCTCTTCAGTTATTAAACAGATAATGAAATGTAATTCACAGAAATGTTAATACTTTTTTGAAATACTTTTTAAGGTCTACTTAAGGAAGTATCTGGAGAAATAACAGACAAAATAATTAAAATAGCAGCATCTAATAATAGCATTCATGTTCCTAGGCATCGCTAGTGTCTAAGGGCTCTCTCCACCATTAGAGGATTGTGAGTGAATCCCAGAGATGCCATCTGTGGTATGGAGTCCAAGAGAGTGTGTGATCTAGGGAGTCCTAACTACTGAGTGAGAACTGGCTGTGACTAAACTGGATAAAAACCAAAAAAGTAAATAAAAGCTGTCAGACTTTGAACTTTTTTATTTAAATAGTAACTGTAAAGTATTTATTTATAGTAGTCTCTTGGCAAGATATCTGCCTCAAGATTTCATCTTCACTTTTCAATTGTGTGCCATTCTGTATATTAATTTCATGGTTTATTATTTAACCAATTAGTTTGAATCTCAATATTATACTTTCCAAATCTACAATTCATCTAAAATTTCTTCAAAATATATGATCAAATCAGACTGATTTGTATATTTTTGTCCTATTTCCTATTTCTATTAAGTTTGCTTGTTCAAAAAGGTAGTTTGTGAGACAAACTAAGTAGAAACCTATGAATTTTCAGCTTTGTTAGTTAATGTCAAAATATGTCAACTACAACACCATTACTGGGAGGAGGGATAAGAGGAATTATACAGCAGAAATAGCCATAAAATAGTTTCGACTTTACAGGGGAATTCCACCAATTTTTCAAAAATCTTGCATAATTAAATGTTAAGACGTAAACAAAGTAATTCAGAGTGGTTTGATGTGAAATGCGCTGTCCTAGAAAAAATACTCACAGCGGTGGAAACAGACGTGAAGAGTTTAACGCCTCTAAAATCTTCCTCACATAAAGTTATTACATAAAATGCATATGAATACACTGCCTGATGTCCGATACACTGAGTGTGTTTACATGCACTCAATAAACTGATCATATTTCTGCATATATTTCTGCAGTTACCTGATTATTCAAATGGTCATGTAAACGCCATACTCCGATGTAGAAATCCAATTAAGAAATCTGATAAAGAGAGCTGGATTTTAGCTCAGTAATCAGATTTCTCAGTGCATGGAAACTCTTACTCTGATTTCTTTCGGATTTCTCAGTCTGTACATGTATGAAAACAGACTGCTGTACCAGAAAATAAGCAAGCAGCGTTGCCATGAAACGCAGCAAAGCACTTTTGGAGCGATGCTGAAACCAAATACATGCTTGACCAAATGAAACATTTAAATATTCCTCATCTTCTAGATGTTGTATGTGCATGTTTTCAGCTAAAGTGGTGCGATGTTTTTAAAAAAAGGCAAGACATTAAGAAATCTGCTTACTGTCTGACTCATGTAGACCTGGTGTTTCCCCATTATCTAATTACTCAAGTGCAAAAAAACTAATTTATTTAGATTTATGACTATTTTACCATCATCAGCATTACATATAAAAACTCAGAAGACAAGTGTAGGTTCACTAGTGGTTTTGAATAGTAAATAAAATTTGTGTTGTAGACATTGTGACCCCTGGTTCCTATCACCACCACTGAAAGAAATCACATGAACCATTTCACATTAAACCCCTGAGTTACTTAATGACTCAATGACTAAATTATTCAGAAATGTTAAAAAAGCTTCCCCTTTGAAGGGTTAAACATAAAAATATGCAGTCATCCACAGGACATGATAATGAGCCACTACAGCTCTACTGTAGGCCAGTAAGTGAAGGAGCCAGACCGGTGTGCTAAGACTCACTGGGTTTTGGTGAATGGTCAGTGAAAGGTCAGTGCACCAGAGTATGGGCCTTTCCTGGGGTTTCCCACAGAGAGCGCCAGGGGCATGGAGGACATGTGGCATCCACCGCTCTGCCCTCTCAACCGCTCAACCAAAAGAGCCCAATCTGCCTGCCTGCTGACGCTAATGAGCCTCGCAGAGAGAGTGTGAGACAAGTGTGTATTTAGCCCGTAAGCTAGGAGAGCCCAAAATGAACAAACACCAACAGAGTTCAAGCATTGTTACACTCCGCATCAGTGTGTGTGTGTGTGTGTGTCTGAGGATGTGTAATGCTCAGCTGGTGTGCAACAGGCACATCTGCTGCTACTTGTAGCGCGAGCAGAAGCCATAAGCTCACAGCAGCGTCAGCTCTGTGAGGATACACTTACGCAGGGCTGCACGAAGCTGGGGAAAAAGTCACACTGCAGTATTATAGTAAAAATTTGGTGAACATTATTGTTGAAAAATGGATCATGTGAATACTTTAATATATCCGAACCCGAACGTCTGTGATCCTGTGAGCGTCAGGCTGCTCACAGTATTAACACAATGGTGATTGTTTAGATTCTCTTTTGTGTGCAACAAATTATTCAGTAACTTCTACACATTATTTGATAACTACTATGAATTATTCAGTAACTACTATAAATAATTCAGTAACTACTATAAAATAATTGATAACCAAATTATTCAGTAACTACTATAAATTATTTGGTAAACACTATAAATTATTCAGTAACTACTATAAATTATTTGGTAAACACTATAAATTATTCAGTAATTACTATAAATTATCTAATTACTAGAAATTGTTTGATAACTACTATGAATTATTCAGTAACTACAATAAATTATTCAGGAACAACTATAAATTATTTACTAACTACTATAAATGATTTGATAAGTACTATAAATTATTCAGTATCTATTCAGTATAAATCATTTGGTAACTACTATGAAACTGTCTGAGATCTGTGTTTATGAGAGAGCAGAACAGAGGTGTGTCCCACAACCAGAATTTAAAAAGTCATAAGACATTAATGGCTTTTAGCCTCTGTGTGAGGAGGATTAGCTGTGACGATGTATCTGTGTTTAAGCTGTGATGTTGATTCTACCTCCAGCTCTGCTGCCACTTTCTCCTCCTCTCCATCCTCTCTCTCTCCACCTGCCACTGTGGGTGGGGTGGAAGCAGGTCGGGGGGCTTCAGACACACTCCTCCTCAACTTTACATGGGGCTTCTGAACCTCTGTCTCATCGGATTCTGATTTCTACAAATAGAAACAGGCATTAATGACTCTGCCACATTAGAAAAGAGGTGGATTAATGGGTGCATCTCACTCAAGGCCTTTACACACCAAACACCACACAGACAAACGGCACAAACGTGTGAAACATTCAGGAACTGTTTCCACCAAAACTATGAACACTGCAGAAGATTACATTGCATGATTTTTTCTGAACACTGTTGTATTTTTTTAAAGGTTTGAAAAAAACATGAACAAGACAGACAAAAGATCTTCTTGAGGTGATGAGAACGTCTTATTTTCCTCTAAAAAAGTGCGAATGCCTCCACTATTCTATAAAACAGGAGCCAGAAGAATCTTATTCAGGAGCTGAAACATTAGTCTAATGAGTTCTCTCATAGGTTCTTTCATGTCTGTTATGCAGTGTGAGTAGCTTTTGGAGATGTGAGCTCCACTAATGAAGCAGAGGAGAACCCTGTAGGCAGTCAGTAGAGCAGGGGTCTCTCAAAGCCTGTTCGACTAAGTCTGGGTTAGCGGCTTCACGAATGCCAACAAACGTAACTGCAGTTAACTTATTTTACAATGCTGAGTAACAATGCTCTCTCTCAAAGGAATGGTTCTAAGAAAAATTATTAAAGCAATAAGCCGCTCAAGGCCGTGGGTTACTGCAGTATTATCACGGGGAAGGGTGTTCTTTGGCACGACGCGAAGTGGAGCGCCTATAACTCCCCTCCCCGTGATAAAATCACAGTAACCCACGGCCTCGAGTGGCTTATTGCTTTTATAAAACGGCAGCCAATATAAAATATATTAAAATACACAATGTTTTAGATAATTATTTAAATTATTATTAGTAATAATCGACATAAACAAGCATTCTGCCAAGAAATGAGTTTCCTTCAGAGCATGGTATCGTTGCTAAGCAACTATTGACTGCTGAATGAGGAGAAGAATGTCGCCCATCGCTGTGGACTGCAGACATTTCATGATTTTTTACAACTTTTTTCATATAACAGTGAACATATTCGAATGTAGCACTGTTTAAGTAATTTTTGGTCACCAAATCATCACCGCGGGTCTTCTGCCAGTCTGACGGCACCACTTTTCTCACGCTGGGTCTGAATCTCAAACAGCTCCCAGCTCCCTACATAGTGCACTACTTAGGAATTTAAATACTGACTCTTGCACCCCAACAATGCAAAATATCTCTAAAAATGGTCATTTGGGATTCATCCACATTCGTACTCGACAAGCAGTGCACTATTTGACAGCAGAAGCTAGAATTTCTAAACTTAGTGTTACACAGCACACTATACAGCAAGGAGTACAGAGCCGTTTGGGATTCAGCCTGGGTTTGATGTGACTTCAGACTGAAACACGAATGTTTGAAGCGTGTAAGTCACTCAAGTGACATTTTTAGACTTTTATACTGCCGTTTAACAGTAAATCATCGTAAGTACTTTAATTCAAGTCTGTGATATGAATGATGGAGTTGTTTAGCATGTTTGCTATCTTTTAGCCTGTTAACTAGCTGACAAGCCCAGTTCTAGTTAAGAACAGAAGCCAGCCACACAGTTTAAACAATAATGGGTTCTCACTTTATCAGAACACACGGTTAAAAAATTAATCCATTTACTGCAGAAGGGTTTTCGTGCCGTGGCGCAGTAATACAGCTGTGATATATCGTGGATTTTACAATGGCTTCGAAAGTGGCTCAGTCAGATTTTAGCACCGGAACAGTTTTATAAACACATATTTTCACTTAATGCAGATGTACTCAATTGGCCAAGACACGTGTGGTATACACATTTTGCTTCTTTAGTTTTAAACTGCAGCTACAAGGCTAATGTTGCTAACACTAGAAGTCAATAGTCACCCAAATCCTTTCTGTAAATACATTCCAAAAACATCTCACCACCCACTCACACCACATCCAGGTCTTTACTAAGATCGCACAGACCTGTTGACATGGTTTAGGACACAGCAGGACTCACCGTGAACGGTAAAAACGAACAATTTTTTCCATGTAGCTAAAAGCTTCAGGCAGTCACTTTCAACAGCTAATATTGTGCCAAATTCTGACTCCCCCACAGAATCTGACTCCCCTTCATGTTCACACACATCACACATTTTACATGCACAGTTACTGTTGATTTTATTTATAAGCATATATTTTAAGCGTGAAAATTCAAGATTAACAGTTATTAATAAAAAGAATTATGAGCGCAATCTGTAACGTGCATATGCCTGCGTGAGGAGTCAGAATTTGGCACAACACCTGTTGTCTAGACAAATACAGTGATACACAGTGTTAAGATTCACAAAGTTTTGTGCATTTTTTATAGTTCTCCGTGAGTCACACTGTGTCCTAATTGACATCTTAAAGTGTGCATGAGCTTAAATGAAGACCTGGATGAGGTTTGAGCAGGTTGTGAGAAGTTTTGGGGATGTATTTACAGAAAAGATTTGGGTGACTATTGACCTCTAGTGTTTGTTAGCAGTATTAGCCTTGTAGCTCCAGTTCTAAACTAAAAAAGCAAAATTTGGACACCAAAAATGTCTTGGCTGATCAGCTACATCTGGGTTCTACGGGAAATGGCATCAAATCAACATGGCTGCTCACACAGTCAACAGTAATAAAGACTCATTTGGTACTTTTAAATAAGATCTGCTTCAGATCCGTCAACATACAGACACAGTAACCAGTTAAATCTGTAACACTGACCATACTGTTCCCTGTGTGGAGAAGATAAATACATCATGAATGTTAATGTTATCACTCACATCACTCATTTCAAGCTCCCCCTCTAAGCTAATTCCAAAGCAGTCTTTGGGCGAGATTCCTACCACTACATTTGCATTACTCTGAAATATGATTAGACCATCCGTCTGGATAAAAATGCCACATGCTGTAAATTAAATTGAACTGAATTCACATTCAGGTTGTGCTTTTTTTGTTGTCTGTGCTCATCAATCTAAACAATGCTAGCAAACATGTTAGCTGATTTAACAGAACTGGCAATTAATGACCTCCTTTATGCGTGATGATCTCCTCAATGACACTGCATTAGCATCAGTTCAAAACAAGTTCCCCTTCCTATTCCAGCACTGTATGATGCAGGTGGCCATGACCACACTGGTGAGTATAGTGCCTCTGCCTTCTACACTGAAGACTGGGGTTAAATCCATGCCTGGACAAGCACCCTACACTAAACCAATGAGAGTCCTTGGGCAAGACTCCTAAAACTACTACCTGTGTAAAATGATCAAAATTGTAAGTTGCTCTGGATAGGAATGTCTGGCAAATGGCAGAACCGTAATTGGTAATAAAACTGGAAAAAATCAAACAGAACTGCATTTGCAATGTGTGCTTTGACATAAATACTATTTTTGATGCACCGAGATTGTCATATGTATGTTACCTTCAAGCTCTTGCCGGGTATGATCACCTCTCCGCTGCGCGTGGTAAGGCCTGGGGAAGAAGGAAAGCTCCTTCGGGGTGGTGGGGGAGGTGGGGATTTGGAGGGTTTCTCGGTCCGATACCTTGCTACTGTAAGCTCATCGGACCCCCGTCTGGACCCCCCCTCCTTGCTGGACACCTTGTGGGCATGCTGGGCTTTGCTGGGTTTGTGCTCAGGTGTGGAGTTGGCGATAGAGGGTGCTTCACTCTGGTTCTGGTTTTGATTCTGATTCGGGTTCTGGTTTTGGTTCTGGTTCTGCACTGGTTTGATCTGCTTGGCGGCGAAGTCCAGGTCCGGAATGGCCTTCATGAGCTCAGCCTGGGTCTCCTCCAGCAGCCGGTTAATGTCCTGAGCGCTGTACTGGGTCAGACTGGCCCGCTTCTCCTCCCAGTCCCGCTCAGCAGCCTGGATTTATTGAGAGTGAAAGAGTGAATGAAACAGAGGTGTAGTCTGATGATAAGTTGTGCGTTCAGTCAGAAGTGCAGACTTGAACATGTTAAACCAGAATGTAAAGGAAATGTAAGCGAGAGACCACCATTCCTTTATTTGATTTCCAGTCAAAATGGCCATTAAGCACAAGTTATTCCTTTTTCAGCTCCAGGAAACAAAAAAGCAAAAACATACTTAACAGAAAACGACACAGAATCCTCAACAACTAAATACGATATTAATATATGAATATTTTTCAGTGTGGGGTTGGTGCTAGAGGGTCCTTATCACTTTAATGTCTTTATCTTTTCATGAGACTTGCTCTCAATTTGTCAAAGAAATCTGCAGGGATAGTTCAGGGATAGGAAGGGATAGGATACTGCAGGGACAGGAAGTTCAGTCTTAGAAGTTGGTTGCTGTTTTGTTTTGTTTTTTTTTGCTTATCACCATCAAAATAACCCCAACACAGCCTGTGATACTGAGGTCTGGACTCTGGGGTGGTCAGTCCATTGCTCTGAGAACACCAGCAGTTTCTTTGTTTGATGTGCTACACATCCTTTCAGACCCATAGCACTGACTCAACTTATCACAGTGGAAGGATGGACAGAAACCTGTGGATGTTTTCAGATTTGAAGCCGTTTGATTGTCTGCTCTCTCACAGAGGTGAAAGGTCTTGCACATTTGTTTGGAGTCCAATTTTCTCTGTATCTTTTTTTTTACTTTTAGAAAATTTTAGAAAAGTTTGGATTATTATTGGATTATCTTGTATCTAATCACCTCATAAATAGCTTCTGAAATATGAATAACCTGTACTTATTGCTATGAATGGATTTACCTTAACAAAACAATTTCACCGTTTAATGAATATTAATAAAAAATTTTAAATAAAAGTAAAACACTAAGACACTAAATTGAATGAAAGTGAAATTGCACAGAGATGCTATTGGGGAAGTCACAGTGTGTAATAGCTGGGCTAGTCTAGTCAAGCAAGACTCGATCAGCTTGTCATAGTGGACGCATTATTTCTGACTAAATACACAGTGATATCTGAACAGATGTATAAAAAAAGATTAAAAAATACACATTAAAATGTCAATTTTCAAATTCAAACTGTCGATCAAAGTGAACCTAATCCAGCACTTACCAGTCTGACCTCCACAGATGAAGCCTTATCGGATCCTCCTCGTCCCCCTAGTTCCTCCAGAACCCGCCCCTTTAGTGACCCAACTCCATGAGAGTCCCGCTCACGCTGCCCTGACGAGGGGTTGCCGTGGGAGTGGCCGTGCGTGTGGGTGTGGACATGAGGGCTCCAGTTGGCCAGGCTGGACTCATTGAAGTTGAGCGGAGGGCTCGTGGGAATGTCAAAGTCAGAGCCTTTCCTGAAGTCTTCTCCGCCCATGTGTTTGGAGGAGGGGCTGGAGAAATCATCCTGATTCTTCCAGATTCCCTCATTCACCTGCCTGCAAACAAAACAGGGAAAACTTGCTTCCAAAAATGTTTCTAATATTAATTATTAGTTACTTCATTAAATTGAACATCACCAGCATGCAAATATTTTGCACTTGAGTAAAATTGGTATTAAAGTCAACCTGAAATCAAAATTGACCTTTATTACTCTGTTATTTGTCCCTCGTCATATTAAGTATGATCATTTATTAACAAAACTCTTGTTTCTTGGTAAATTATAATTAGAATGTAATAACTTCTGCCTGCCTCTGTTTATCTTTTGAGTTTTGACCTGGTCACTGTGCACCACTGTGGGACATCATTGTGCAAAAAACACTCAGCTGGCTCAAGGACCCTTCTAGGTATTGTATTTTACTTGGACATGCATCAGGGTATGGAAGAAAAGCAGAAGAGGAGATATTTTTTTAAGTATTTTATTAAGAATTTGTTGTTGTGTCACTGAAATCATTGAATCAGTCGCAAAAAACGTGGAAATGTGTAACTGCATGCAATGTGTGGAAGAACATTTTTGTAATGTGAGCTGTGCTTCGGGCTCCTTCCCTGAGCGGATGAATTTGATGATTTAAAAGGGTCCTCTGCCTTGCTACTCTTTTTTTATTCCCCTTTTTTCTTTTGTCTTGTGTATACTGTTTGTATGTTGTATGTCAATTCTCACATGTTTATTTCCAATTAAAACCAATAAAAAAACTTTACAGTTACACTGCATTTAAAGATGTTGTTGATAGATGTAAAGTTAGTGTGTATATGTGTGTGTGTGTGTGTGTGTGTGTGTGTGTATGTACCTCTTGAGTGTGGCAAGTGTGTCAGTGATGGTTTTGCAGCGTTTGAGCAGCGCGTCCAGCCTGTGAGGCTCCTCCTTCAGAAACTTCACCGCCTCCACCTCCACCCTCAGCACCACACGCATCTTACTCTGCAGCCCAGGAAACTGATCTACTCACACACATACACACACACATACACACACACACACAGGAGAAGCAAAACATATTTACTCATATAAATATACACATATTTTGCTTGAAAAAACCCACACCTTGTAATGTTAGAACGCTGACTATTACTGCATTCAGAAGTAACAAGAATTTATTTTTTCAAAAAAGTAGTTGATATAGTTGAGCTAATCTGAAAAACAGACATTTGCTTCTGGATTTCTCCTCAGTGCCCCCAGCCATTACATGGATTTGATAAATTCCACCATTAGTACAAACGATTTAATTTAATGAAGTATAAAAAAAACATATCAACGTTCGTTGTTTTGATTTTTTGTGCATCATTTGAAAAGTCAAGTTAGAAAGGTCCATTTTTGCCTTGAAAAAAAGCTCACTTCCATTACATGTTAAGAAAGTTTTTTGCTTCTCCTGTAAAGTAAAAAAACCTCCTTTATATATCTAAAAATATCTATATCCTATAAATCACAAAAGAGAAATTAAGCCACTGTCATTTGGTTAACTCATAGGAGTTGAAGTTGCTGTTGAATCATTGAGTGTGTTTACAGGAACTCAGTAATCCGATCATTATCAGATCTATGCAGTTATTTGATTATTCAAATGGTCATGTAAACAGCACACTTCGATTTCTTACATCGCAGTAAAGTCTAGAAATCCTATTCAGAAATCTGATAAAAAGAGCTAGATTTTAGCTCAGTAACAGATTTCTCAGTGCATGTAAACTCTTACTCAGATTTCCTTCGGGTTTCTCAGTCTGTACATGTGCAAAACAGACTGTGGAACCGAAAATAAGTAAGTGCCGTTGCCACGAGATGAAAATAACTATAAATAATAAATGTTTGATGAAATGAAATGAAGGATTTAAATATTCTTCATCTTCTAGATGAAGTATGTTCATAGTTTCAGGTGAAGTGTTGTGATGTATTAAAAAAAAGCTGCGTTTTACATTACATTTACATCACGTGAGGTTGGTTGCACAGCAGAAATCTGATTACTGTCTGACTCATGTAGAGCCAGAGTTTCCCAATTATCTGATTGCTCAAGTGCATGTAAATGTGTTGATTGGATTACCGACAAAATCTGATTTTCTGCAGTTATAGGATTATTAAGTCATTTAAACATTCACTGGTGATAACAAAAGCATGGTTTAATTTATATGTAACTGATTTCACACGTGTAGCTCATTAAAGCAAACTGGGAAATTCTGTTCAAAGTGTAGTACATCCAATATTTGCGCTTGTATGTCTAAGAGGAGTTATTTTATCACAGAAAGAATAACATCTTTTAGATTTTGCCATGTTTTGTCATTTCTTGAGAAATAAAAGTCAGAATGTACAGAATGTGAATGTAATTCATTGTGAAACTAACTATGTCATTAATTACAATGTTATAGAATGCAATAGTAAGTCAATATTCACTCTAGACTACTATAGATCTAAACTGTATGGTTATGAGCATGTGCTAATGAATGGTGGTAGCTAGTGAATGATGTTTGTTGGAGTAGGTGATGTGACTGTTCTCTCACTCTTTAGCTCGGTTAGCGTCTCTCCCAGTCGCCGCAGCACCGTGGCCTTCTCCTCCAGCTCCTGCACTGTGATGTGCCTGTGGTTCACTGAGCTCTCCTTCTGGATCTCCTCCACTGACTTCTCCAGATCACTGAGAGACACAAAGACATCCTCTGATTAGCCAGCCATTAATCCTCCTGGCTCCTCAAAACATCTCATCTTATTTTGTTTTTTTTCTCACTCTTAGTTCACTGAATCTGTTGAAAGTGTGGATTCAAGACCTTCAATTAATTGTGTTAATAAGTACACTATGTGCAAAAGTTCCTCTGAAATCATAATAATAGAGAAATCAGAATAATAGAGAGTTTGTCCCATCTTTGCTGGGATATCAGGCTCTACTCTTCTGAGAAGGGTTTATAGTAGATGTTAGAACATTGCTGTGAGGAACAGATTGCATTCAGCCACAAGAGTATAGTGAGGTCACCGATGTTAGATGATCAGTTCTGTCACTCTAATTCATCCCGAAGTTAATAGATGGAGCTGATCCACTGCTGCACAGCCTAATGCTGGGGAGGCTTTATCTCCCTCTAGCTGATGCTTGGCATCGGACATGCATTGGCTCATGCACAGTTTCTCCAGAGTGTCCCATTCTGTTGGTCTATGCTTTTCTATGGAGAAAATCAAGCTAGCATTAGTGTAACTCACAAAATAGACAAAATAGAGAAGAAAGCAGGGACTCTATCTTTATTTAGCTCAAAATGGACACCAGAGACTAGACACAGAGAAAAGAAGTCAAACTGGGGTAAGGTATCCAGATAGCAAGCTGCCTTGCTCGCTTTAGCCTTTAGCTTGTCCTCCTCATCTAACAAGTCATTTCTTTTGAGTCATAATTTTTTCCAGTGTAATGGTGATTTGAATACAGTCATTACAGTAAAAATAATAAATAAATAGGCTACATTTTTCTTCTATTTGTTTTTTTTCCCCCTCAGGTCCACGTACAACATTTGTGTGGATTGATGTACCAAAATGGTCATAATTCATTTTTCCATGACCATTTTTCAACCTCCCTTTATCCCTCAAGACCAATATAAGATAAATGAGGTCTGCTCTGATTGGCTGCCCCGTATTGTGCCTCATTCACAAGCACTAAGAGCTGAAACTCTCCTTATAACTTCAGATGGAGTGGGCGGGGCTAAACTGCTACAGGCTATGGGCTGTTTTTGTAGCTTATTGTCCACATATATGGACATTTTTCAAAAGTTCCAGCCACCAAGGAGTTTTCCTAGTCTTTAAACTGGAAAATCTCACTCTATACTTTACTGCGGCACCACTGTAGGAGGTGAGTATGGATGTTTACAACAGATGTAGTGATGGTTACATTTTGGGTGGATCTTTCATTTTGGGTGGAGTGTCCCTTTACGTTCTATGGGCTGCCATGGTGCTTCAGGTTGAAATGTTAGAGAACAGTTTACTCAGAGGCCTCCATCCATGTTTATTTGACAGGAACAATAGAGAGTTGATCTGAACTCTCTACAACTTACAGAGCAATCTTCATTCTTTCTCAGCAACAAATCCCTCCACTCTTTCTCTTTCCCTCTTTCTCTCTCTCCCTCTCTCTCTGTGCGTGCGTTTTTGCATCTATCTGTCAATAGCAGTCTATGTGAGCCAGCCCTGCTGCAGATACCAAAATAAGCAGAGCTCAGTCAGGGTCTTTACACTGATGAAAATCCAATTTAACCACATCAAGCAAATCCACTCCCCACCATATGCTGCAGAACACCAGCGCTGTGTAAATAATTGAATCACATCAAATGGCTGTTAGCTACACTTAATAAGCAGCATCAATTAACAAGAACGCGTCGGATTCAACAGCAGGTCAGAGATGCAGATTAAGAGTCTTAAGTGCTTCAATTGTTGTGGAATGAATTGCTCAACACTGTCATTTGACAGGTTTTGGATCTTGAGCAACGTGCGATTGTGCTGAAGTTATGTAGAACATATTTTGAACATACAATGAGAAAGGTGGACAACATTTTTCCTGAGTCTGGTGATCCATGAGCATAGCCCAAAAGTATCCAGACACCCTTTCTAATTAGTGAATTCTGACAAGGTGTTCAATTGTGGACATACGGCTTGAAAAATCTCCTTAGAAAAGCATTGACCAATAGAAAATAGCCTTATTATGACGTTATCAATCAGTGAGCTTCTGTCTTTGATGTTCTTAACTAACTAGAGATGCAGCACTGATCTGCCTCAGGGTGGCGCTGTTGCAAATTTGTTCACCCAGTTGACAATGGCAGCAACGATAACTACGTCCAATATACCTCTGAAAAACTTTAAATTGCGAGTGGCGAGTGAGTTAGAAACCAGTCAATGTGGAGTAGCCAGCCAACATGGGACCAAGGGGTATTTCACACATTGGCTAGAGGGGTACAAGGCCCCCAGCACTGGGCTGTGGAACAGAGAAACTGTGTTCTCTGGAGTAATGGAGCTCCATCCAATTCCTTTAGGATGAGCTGGAATGATCAAGAACTGATCATCTGACATCAGTAACTGATCTCACTAATTTTCTTGTTAAATTCAATCAAATCCTCACAGCAATGCTCTAACATAGTCTAAACCCTTCTCAGAAGAATAGAGGTCATTACCGCAACACAGAGGAACAGCAATGGGTGCAAGAAGCTGAAAGCACTAATCAGAAAGGCTGTTTGGATATTTTTGGACATATAGTGTATAAAACGTGCCATAACTTTTGCACAGGCCATATTTTATGCTCAGTTTATTTCACTAAAAAGTTAAATTAAACAAACAACTATTAATATGCATTGAAATATGTAGAAGTGTGTTCTCTGTGCACCAACTTCTGCACACAACTGTATGTGAGTATAACTATTATAGGCATTATAAAGAAGGAGGAGACAGTTTACCGTTTGGAAATAAATGGGAAAGCTCGGAACGCTCAATATGGCGTCTGTCCACGAAGAAAGTCCCACCATTCAATAAAAAGGGAAAAGCTGCAAGCAGGAAAATGCCCCTTCATTGTGGAGTTTGTGTGCAGTTGCATGAAACAGTGCCTAAAACCCCTTCCCTGTGATAAAATCACAGTAACGCACAGCCTCTAGTGGCTAGCCAAGAAAGGTAGTTTCTTTAGAGTATAATAACGTTGCAAAGCAACCATGGACCACTGAATGAGGAGAACGTTTGGTCTCCCATTGCTGTATATTGTAGTCATTTCATGATTTGTTTTACTTTTTGTTGTATAACAGTGAACATATGATATCACAGCACTGTTTAATACACAAACCTTTGCTGTTTCAGTACTTTTTGGTCACCAAATTATCACCGTGAGTCTTATTTAGCACCAATCCAGCAGTGCCCTCTTCCCCTGCTGGGGCTGCATCTCAGATGGCTCCCTGCTCCCTACATAGTGCACTAAATAGGAGTTTAAATACTGGATTCTGCAGCCCAACAGAGCAAAATACGGCTAAGAAACAGTCATTTGGGACTCAGACACATCCACACTCGATAAATGATGCACTGTTTGGCTGTAGAGGCTAGAACTTCTAAACTTTCACAGCTAGCACACTATTTTGGGAGTACGGAGCCATTTGGGATTCAGCCTGGGTTTGACGTTCTTTTTGACTGAAACACGAAAGTTTGAAGCATTTAATCCATTCAAGTCACATTTTTAGAGTTTTATACTGCAGTTTTACAGTTAATCATATCGTAAGTACTTTAATTCAAGCCTGTGACGTTAACAATGGAGTTGTTTAGACTGTTTGCTATCTTTTAGCCTGTTAGCTAGCTGACCAGCCTAGTTCTAGCTAAGAACATAAGTTGTCAGCCCCTCAGTTTAAACAAATAACGGGTTCTTACTTTGTCAACATACTCGGTGCTGCATGCGAGCAGCATTACAGTTAAAGATTAGTCTATAATAACAGCTCAAGGGTTTTTTTGTGCCGTGGCGCAGTGATACAGAGTTTCTTGTGATGCGCTCATAGGTGTGCATTTATTGTGAATTTTACAACGGTTTTGAATGCAGCTCAGCCAATCAGATTTTAGGAATTCCAGAATTATCCGTCATATAACAGCGATTTTTATGTCTTTTAAACATCAGTGGGGTTTTTAGTTTAGGATTTATAGCTGGGGTTTAGCTCCTGTAAGGACTCACTGTAGCTGCTGTATGATGAGCTCCTCCTCGTTGAGGTATTTGAGTCTCTCCTCTTCCACCAGGAGGCGCTGTCTCTGCAGTGGATCCTCCTGCTTCCTCAGAGCATCAGACACCCGTATGCTCAGTTCCGTCTCCGTCCGCTTCATCAGGGAGCGCACTGACTCCTGATTCTGCAGCTGCGTAATGACAACAACCCAACATCAGCTTTCACATACATACAAACGTTCAGATGTCTGTTTTCAATAATATGAAGCCACAGTTTCCTCGTACATACATGAATAAAATGATCCTAATATACTACATCATGTGCAACTTCATAGGTTTCACACAGAAAGTTAGGAACATGAAACAATTTGTAGGAAGCCGTAAAAAAGATGCAGACAGTCCCATAATCACTGAGAAAGCTGAATACTGAGAATGAAGGTCTAATAAAATGAACATCCAGAATGAAGATGTAATAAAATTAACTGCTTACTTGAAATATTGAATAAAACATCCTGAAGTACCTTCCTCTGGCTTTAAGTATTTAAATCTACACTCTGTATGTAAATGGATTCTGAATATGAAATATAAAAGAATATGAATATGCATATGAATACCAATATACTGAATATGAAATACATTATTAATATGAGAAGTGATTCCAAACTTCTGAAGGGTATATAAATGCATGTATTGACCTGCCTTTGACCGTGTAAAGCTCTTACTTCATCTCACAGTCAATTTTTGTCTACTGAACTGTCCTTGATAAACTCTGTGTGTGTATGTGTGTGTATGTGTGTGTGTGTGTGTGTATGTGTATGTGCGTATGTGTATGTGTGTATGTGTGTGTGTGTGTGTGTGTGTGCGTGTTTAAGTGCAGTGTGTCCTTGGCAGCTTTGATGTGTTGAACTCATTTTGGATCCATTCAATTCAATAATGACTGAATGTAGATCTACAGTTCTGTCCTTGAGTTTAATATCCTAATAAACTGAGAGAGAGAGAGAGAGAGACAGAGAGAGACTCAGACTCTGATAAACTGTATACTGTGCTTGGAGAAGAAACTGATATATATATACATATATATATATATATATATATATATATATATATATATGTATATTAGTGATATTAGTTTTCTGTATTACTTCTAATATTGAGCACTTCTTTCATCACTTTGCTAACATTTGTTTACTGCAATTTGTCAATAAAGCTGTTTAAAACTGAAAAAAACTGAAAACTGATAGTCAGAGAGAGAGAATAAGAGAGAGAATGTGAAAGGGTGAGAGACTGTGATAGAGAGAAAGAGAGAGAGAGAGAGAGAGAGAGAGAGTGCTAAATTCTGATGGTGTAAGTGTTTTTGCAGATGCTGCTCTTCTGCCCTCAGGAAACTTTTTTTTAGTTTTGTCACACATACACCACACACAATAGTGCGTCACTGTAGTGTGTGTACTTGGCTGAGTGTGTGTGTGTGTGTGTGTGTGTGTGTGTGTGTGTCTGTTGAATAATTCATGAGCTGCATGAAAACTTTACACCCACTGCTGTCTCCCTTGGCAACAGGCAGGGTCAGAGTTACACACACACACACACACACACACACATGCAATTTAAGTGGTATCCAAAGTTTTTGTGTTGGGGGGCATATGTTTGTTGGGAGCTGAGGGTCAAAGAAAACAACATTTTATTACTAAATATTTCAAAAGAACAAACAGAAAAACTACATTAACTAAATCTAAAACCAAAATCAAATCAGCATAAGTCTGTTCTCCTGTTGGGGGGGAGAATTTTCTGGTGGGCCAAATCAAACATCCTCACAGGCCAACTTTCTCTCTCTCGTTCTCCATCTCTCTCTCTCTATCTTTCTGATTATGTCTTTGTCTGTCTCTCTCTGCTTCTCTCTCTCGTTCTCTACCCTTCTCTTTCTACCTCTCTTGAAAATGGAACCATGAACCTTATGCATGATTAAAGGGTTCTTTGCACCGTGAAATGGTTCTTCAGGTTGGAGAATGTGCTGAAAATGGTTCTTCACAGAACATTTTTGAAAAGGGTTCTGTATGACCCCAAAAAGGGTTCCTCTATTGTTACAGACTTGACATCGTAACAACAAACACAGCAGCCCTATAATGTCCAAGCAGCAACAACTATTTACAACCTTTAAATCTCTCTCACCGCTGCAAGCCAGAGTGGAACGCTACAATATTACTGCAGCAAAATGCTAAATATCGCTACATCTACACGTATCCTAACCTTAACGTTCAGCAACAAAAAGATCAGCTTTGGCTCAGTGGCATAGCTAGAATTAAATTTTTAGGAGGGCCTGATTGCAGGTTAACAGGGCCAGCTAGGAAGCACTATGTCCCAGATGAGCTTACCTAGCCTACTTCATTGTAGCCACCATAACCAGAGAGAAAAACAAAACTTTAACTGACCCGGCATTTAACTGCCTCGTTACTGTAACAGCTGACAGAGTTCCATGGTGGGTAAATCCTAATCAACCACAGTCCTGTCTTTCACAGCACTAGCAACAGGCCTGCACAAAGACTTAGCTGGGTCCCTGAACAATTCAGCTGTCTGCTTCTTTGTGATGAGCAGCCTCAGCGACATGATTGAGGGCATCTGCTGACCACAAAGAGTTAAATATATAGCCACACACATACACACTTACTGAGCAGCTGAACGCAGCTGGAGTTTGCAGGCTGGGAGCTCATGTTCCACAAAAACAAATCATGTTTCCACATCGAAACTAAACAAAATGTCCCCACACTATCAGAAAATTCATATTTTATTGTAATCGTGGGAATATTTTTGTCCCTATAAAGATACAGACACTCACACTACCACACTTTTCATCATTTTACTATTTCACTCGTGGCCCAGGCCTGTCAGAGCGGCGACTGTGTGAGGATTCTCAGTAAACTGTGTGGAAGCGGCGACTGAACATCCCTGCTGTTTCTTCTGTCTGTGTGTTTTATGCGATGTTAGACGCGCCGTGTTGGAGACGCATGCTGTTCGGGGACGGCTGGTCTGCGTCTGTAAGCTGATAACTCATTTTTTCTTGTTGCGCTTGTAGAGACACTCTTGGGCTCGGAAAGACCCCAATGTGTCAGAAATGTACAGGCCTGTCTCTGCTCCCTGTCTTGCTGGAAATTTCCTCTGAACTACCCTCTTCACATGGCGGGAGCGCGTTCTGGAGTTTTTGGCAGCTGCACTGGTGCTCGCAAACCTAAAGGCTTAGCGAGTTAAAGAAACTTAGCTATGAAAACAAACTGAATAATTAAATCTTAACTTTATGATTTGTGACAAAAATGGTCATTACCCTGCTGTAAAATCAGCACAGACTAGCATGCATTCCATGATGGTCTATGCTGGTCTAGGGCTGGTTTAGCTTGTTACCTAGCATGGTCATGCTGACTGACCAGCATATCAGCATCCAAAACACAATATATGCTGGTTTTACTGTGCTATAGCATATCTGCTGGTTTTCTAACAGGGTAGAGTGTTGCTTCCCCTTGAGAATTCACTCTAAATCCCAAACATAGTCAGTCAGCCAAGACATGTTTGGTTTGTTTTTTTGCCACTGGAGCTATGAGGCTAATGTAGCTCACAAGCAATGGAAGCTGGTTGACCAAACAAGCCTTAACTGGCCAACTTTCTTTGGACTAAGGGGAAAAATATGAAAATGTCAGAATGCTGTCAGAAAACTTCACATTTCACAGCAAAACAAAAACTTTTTATCCAAACCAATGCAGTGGTTTGAGTTTGCACTGTGCGATGTGCTCTGCTTAATGGTCTGATTCACCATATCATTTATTCTGAGAGCGCCCCCTGACTGTGATTGGTCCTAATCACTGCATTGTTTATTAAGACCTCCCCCTGACTGTGATTGGTCCTAATCACTGCATCGTTTATTAAGACCTCCCCCTGACTGTGATTGGTCCTAATCACTGCATCCTTTATTCTGACCTCCCCCTGACTGTGATTGGTCCTAATCACTGCATCGTTTATTAAGACCTCCCCCTGACTGTGATTGGTCCTAATCACTGCATCCTTTATTCTGACCTCCCCCTGACTGTGATTGGTCCTAATCACTGCATCGTTTATTAAGACCTCCCCCTGACTGTGATTGGTCCTAATCACTGCATCATTTATTGAGGCCTCCCCCTTACTGTGATTGGTCCTAATCACTGCATCCTTTATTGAGACCTCCCCCTGACTGTGATTGGTCCTAATCACTGCATCATTTATTGAGGCCTCCCCCTGACTGTGATTGGTCCTAATCACTGCCAATTATTCTAAGACCTCCCTTGACTGTGATTGGTGCTAATCGTTTATTAAGACATCCCCCTGATTGTAATTAAGGTCCTAATCACTGCATCATTTTTTGAGACCCCCCCCCCGATTGTGATTGGTTCTAATCAGTGCATCGTTTATTAAGACATCCCCCTGATTGTAATTGGTCCTAATCGCTGCATCAGTTATTTAGACCTCCCCTGATTGTAATTGGTCCTAATCACTGCATCATTTATTCTGAAACCACCCCCTGACTGTGATTGGTCCTAATCACTGCATCATTTATTGAGACCTCCTCCTGACTGTGTTTGGTCCTAATCAGAGCATTGTTTATTCTGAGACCTCCCCCTGACTGTGATTGGTCCTAATCACTGCATCTTTTATTGAGAGCTCCCTCTGACTGTGATTGGTCCTCATCACTGTGTCATTTATTCTGAGACCTCCCCCTAACTGTGATTGGTCCTAATCATTGCACTGTTTATTGAGACGTCCTTGGTCATAATCACACTGTATTTTTTTAGGGACCTCCCCCCCTGACTACAATTGATTTTAATCACCACATCATATTTTCTGTGGCCTCCCTGACTGTGATTGGTCATCATGCACAAAACGGGCCTCTTGCAGTGTTAAGTACCTGGCAAGTTTATTCCCAGGGGCCTTACTCCCTCACAATGAGCAGGCGCATTGAAAATAAACAGTGAATGCAGCACCTGTTTACATATGTATGTGTCCGTGTGTTTGTATAAGAAGGAAGAGATGCGTTACCTGAATCTTTCTCAGCTGGTCGAGCTGCTTCCGCAGGTCAGTGGCGTTCTGTTTGAGCTCATGTAGATGGAGCTGCATCTGCAGTCGGGACACATTGGAGCCCTGCGGGGTCATGGCAGGGGGCGGCATCAGGGCCAGCGGGGCTGACGGGGTCAGAGCTAGCAGACAGTACCGGACAAGGTCAGGAGCTGGACGGCGCCATCATGTGTTAACTGACCTATCCACACTCTGCCCACAAATGTATTCTTTCATAGCCACTTTTTTGAGGTTGGACATACATAAAGCTTGTCCACCCTAGTCATGACAGAACTCATGTGGGGGCGGAGCATAAATAGGCCAATAACACCAGCACTAAAGCACACACATACTCAAACACACACGCACACCTGACTGTATTAAGGCACACAGACATGCCACTTCAGTTCACACCCGCCACCGCACTTTTACCCTCTTTCACACGCACATAAATATAGACTGGGAGCACAGCGCACTGTCTCCTCTACAGTCCATACGGTAGGAGTGAGCATGCTATTAGTGTAGATTAAAGTAGAACCAGGAATAGCAGCATTCTCTAGTGTCCTAAATGCTGGGGAACTTCCACGTGAACTGTGCAAGGTGAACTGTGGAATTAATTTACTTTCATAAGGAATTCTATGTCAATGCAATGATAAGATTGTCATTTTGCGAATTGTAAATCCATAATCAGATTTTTAAATCTGTACAGTCATATGCACAATATTAGCACCCCAGATTTTATCGATTTTTTTAAGTTAACACGTCTTTTTCAGGGAACACACTTAATTATGACCTTTTTGCATGTTTTACTGCATTTTTACTCAGCAAAAATGAATAAAAATAAGACATAAAATATAAAATATGCCATAATTTGGCACAGGCCTTTTTCCTATTATGTTGAATTCAGCAAATAAACAGTAATTGTGCATTAAATTGTGTAGAAGTGTGTTCTCTGTAGAGGATGTGTTGTTTTATTTTCACTTTTCAACAAAACATGGAACATTTTGGAAGTTTGACCAGCAGTGTCAAAACTTTTGCATATGACTGTAAGTGTTTGCAACCTATATTTTGCAAGCGCAATACAACAATATTACAACTACTAATCCTTATTTACTCCTTTACAGCGCTTATGTAGTAATTATGACTTACAGTTTACATATTAACAACTTTCATGCTACAAGTATGAATCACTGTTTATGCTGCTAAAGCTCTAATTCACAATTCCAGGCTTTTCACACTTAAACGTCTCATGTTTTGAGAGGTGTAATCCACGTAGGTGGCTCCAGAGAGCTGAGGAGGCTTAGATGAAGCCTAAAAAACACCTGATCTTCATAATCTGTGAAAATGTGTCTATGTCAAAAGCAGACTAGTGAAGCAATCAGGGACAATGTGCAGTCGGGTTGAACGAAAGGCATCACTGAGTGTGTTTACATGCACTTAATAATCTTATCATAAGATTACCGCAGTTATCTGCTTATTCAAATGGTCATCTAAACAGCATACTCTGATTTCTTAGATCAGAGTAAAGTCTAGAAATCTAATTAAGAAATCCGATAAAGAGAGCTGGATCAGATTTCTCAGTGCATGTAAACTCTTACTCTGATTTCTTTCGGATTTCTCAGTCTGAACATCTGCAAAAACAAACCACGGAACTGGAAATAAGTTACGGGCATTAATATGAAGTTACTCCCCCCTCCTTTGTGGCTATAGCAGCCTCCACTCTTCTGGGACGGCTTTCCGCAAGATTTTGGAGTGTGTTTGTGGGAATCTGGGTCCTTTCAGTCAAAACAGCATCAGAAGTCAGACACTGATGTTGCACAGAAGGGCCACTTCATCACAAAGGTGCTCAGTGGGGTTGAGGTCAGGGCTCTTCAAACAGTGTCTTTATGAAGCTCACTTTGTTAACAGGGAGTCATGCTAGAACAGGAAAGGGCCTTTAACAAACTGTTCCCACAAAGTTGGAGTCATATAATTGTCTTAAATGTCTTTGTATGCTGTAGCATTAACATCACCATTGACCGGAACTAAAGGGCCCAAACCCTGTAAAACACAGCCCCAGATCATTATCCCTCCTCCACCAAAGTAGTCTATGTATAAATGGAGTTAAGAGTGAAGTTACAGATTTGAAAAATTGATTATGGATTTGTGATTCAATAACTAAAATTATGATTTTGCATTGCATTCACATACAGTTCCTATTGACAGGAAATTAAGTCCATAGTGATGACATCATCAGGAGCACACACACACACCACACTGCAACACTCAAACACACACATGTTGTGAGGAACTGTGTGTTCGGGAGAGAGGGAGTTAGACTGTGGAGGAGAGAGAGGGAGCCATAGTTAAGGCACAGAAACACACGCGCACACACACACTAAAGCTTGTGCGTGTGCGCTTGCACACACAGGCCAAACGACTGGAAAGACACTCGAGCAGAGACAGAGCTACCTTTCCTCATCAGCCGGCCAGCTGAAACATACAGTACAGGCGGTCAGCTCGTCCAAGTGAGAAAAAACAAACAAACAAACAAAAAGAAAACGCAGAGCAACCAAACAAATACAACAGCAGAAAGAGAAGGGACGCTACATCAGAGGAACTGGCCATAGTTCAAAGTCAGGGTGGGACACTGAGACCCCTGAGAAATCTTCTCAGTGACCTACTACTGAGGGGCTACAGAGGGGTAACTGATATTACACTCGGGGTGGAAAACCTTCTAAGCCAAATCGAACCCATCTGAACCCCTCAGCAGTGTATTTGAACTAGCCTTTAAAATGCACTCTCTGAGGACCTTCAGAGAGAAAGAAAGAAAGAGAGAGGGAGAAAGAGGGGGGGGGGTGATGGGTGGAGAAGCTAATGGAAAAAGATCACACACTAAAAGTAAGTAGGAAAAGAAACCCAAAAAGAAGGAGAGAGGGGCAAACAAGCTGTATAGTGTATATTTGCTAGCCAACAAGCTAGCATAGTGATACCTGCAAGCAAAGGATTTACTATTGTTTTTTCTGTTGCTTACCAGCTATTTTTTAGGCTTTTCAGCTTTTTTAATCCAATTTTCTCACTAATTTAGTCACTCACTGGCTAGATCTCCCCCATTACACGATGCTACCAACACTGGCAGGGTGAAGACTAGCATGTGCTTCCTCCAACATATGTGAGGCACCACTTTATCTTTTCAAACCACAGCTAATCGTGGCATCACTGGACACTTCAACACGCTTGGAGGAGAACACTACCTGCCAATTCTGTTACGTCAGCCAACAGACACCCACGTTGGACAGTATCACACTGAGTGATGGGGGGAGAGATAATAATAAGTTCAGCTAGTTTGCATTAAAGTCCCTGTAGTTACTGAATAATAAGCCTTAGTACATAATAAGCCTGGGATTTTAAATGGTTAAGCATTCACATGTTATCTTTGAACTTCAGCAGTATTTCTCCTTTGACGTGAATAACTGATACTAAAAAAGTTTTATTGTAGGTATTAAAGGGCCCATATTGTACATCTTTCTTGTACTTTGTACTCTTGTGGTTTTATGTACCAGTTATAATTCATTTCTACATGACCATTTCCCAACCTCTCTTAATCCTGTAGAATGGAATTGGCTGTCTTTGTTACTGTGCCTTTAAGACTGATAGGTGTTCTGATTGGCTGCCCTGCGCTAAGCCTCTTTCACAGGGCAGTCTGGGCTGAAACACTCCTTATAACTTCAAAGTAAATAAGTGGAGCCAAACTGCTGTAAAATTAGTTGGCATTCGTGACAACGACGAGTTTGAAAACTTTAACAATGTTTACATGCTACATAAGAGTCTTTTATTTTGAAATAAGTGAAGACAAATCCATTGCATGATGGGCCCTTTAAAAATAAATGTATGAACCACTGATAAACAACAACAGTCATATTTGTGTGAGTAAGTAATGTTAACTTTGATATTCAAGATTTAGCTAAAATGAATGCCTTCTACATCGAGTTATCCTTACATAGCTAACTAGCTTGTTTGCATTGGCAGCCCTGGATGTCCGCTGACCCTAGCACCGCTCCTGACCCAGGGTGCCTCTGATTCTTTTATAATGATAATTGCAGTAGGTGACGACTGCTTTTTGTCACCAATCAACTCCGTCCTGACCTTGACATGTCAACATGCCTCAATAACACAGGAAGTAACGTTACTCACTTCCTGTGGCGGAGCCGTCGCTGGTGGATTCCGTCTTCTCGCTGGAAGAGAAAGGGAAGGGCCGTGAGAAGTCCGCCCCCTGGTCCGGAGGGCAGCCAGCCATCATGCAGAGACGCAGCAGGCCGCATCTGAGGATCACACAGCCGTGATACTGACGCTGCCCCCAACACACTGCAGAACGCAACACTGAACCAACACCGCACTGCAATCACTAACCCTCCATAACCGCTGCACTGCTGAACCTAACGACTCCCTAAACACCAATCAAACCAACGCCAAGAAACAGTGACAAACCCAGCAGCCAGGTCTGAAATGGAGTGAAATGAAATAGAGGAATTTTATGATGTTATGCCTAAACTTTTTATCCCTTCTATTTAACTTCTTATGTGGGGTAAATTTTATTTCTTTTACTCCCTGACATCTCCTCCACCCTCCCAAACTTTATGTCTAAACTGTATCAGTCACACATATATGTAACATGGACAAGTGCTCACTTGCTGAAAGATAAAGTGTAAAAACATACCAGAATTATGGCCAGTGATACAGTGATAAAAAAGGGCCGCAAGATTAAACAGGACTAAAATCTAACACTTCACAAAAATGTGAATGATAATTAAAACAAGCACCTTTATTTTTCCTTTGCTCTTCTGTGCTGGTCACGTTCAAACAGTTAGAGCAGCAGCAGATCAACAATTGGAAAAAAAACGTCAGCTACATGGAATAATTTCATGGTTTCTATGAGGAACGTTAGACAAACAATTTATAATCTCTGATCATGTTGAGTATCGAGAGGAAGTGCAACGCCCAAGAACTGCTTCATTACAGGTTTAATACCATTTGCCAACATTACATCCTGCTCAATACGCAGAATACAGGAAAGCAACAGAAGCAGAAGGGAAAGTCCCTGTTAGCATGATGCATCTGTAGCCACAGTTTTGCACTTAAAAAAAATGTTGTTTGACCTTAAAAAAGCTGCCAGGCAGCCTTAAAATTTAGAGTTAACTGAAGTTCTAATAGAAAATGAACAGAACAAGAATCTGTGTTGTAAATACTGTTCAGTTACTATGAGAAGTTCAAGCAGTACTGCTGTGTGTTGTCAAGGCAGTTGGATTTTGTAGCACATCTGCTAACCCACATACTGTAACAATTTTAGTACGTTTTAGCATCAGTTTTATTTTATGTAAAATTTATTGTCAGCTCAGTGTTGTCCTATCAATTTTATCAGCAAGAAAAGTGTATTTTCCTCATTACTTTATAGTTTTTACACTTAGTCTGTTTATCCAAAAACAAAACAAAATGTAAAAGAAAATACTTTTCAGTTTTCAGGTGCATCTTCAATTTTCAGTTTTTGATGCATCACTAATAAACTGTGATAAATTTTAAAACTGCAATGGACTTGAACACTTGGAAAAAGACCCTGCCTGAACTCTACAGTTTTGTAGACTCCTAAGACCAAGAATGAGTCTGGGAATTCTAGGAAAGGCTGTCTTTTCCAAAATCAGAATCCGAGTTTGGACTGATCTTTCATAATGTCGAACTTGTGTTTCTGTGGTTTGGTGTAGGCTAGTTTTTTTATTGTAAGTGTGACTATAACATAGGCAGTTGAAGACTGAAGGTTAGGGAACCAGCCTTGTGATCAGACGGTTACCGGTTTGATTCCCTGACCCGACAGTACGTGACTGAAGTGCCCTTGAGCAAGGCACCTAACCCCCAACTGCTCCACTGGTGTTGTGGCTGCCCACTGCTCCGGGCAAGTGTGCTCACTGCCCCCTTGTGTGTGTGTGTGTATGTGGGTGTTTCACTGCATGGACAGGTTAAATGTGGAGGTCAAATTCCTGTATGCAAGCACAGTTGGCCAATGGTTCTGACCTGAACTGAACATGAAAAATAAGCACTTTTTTCATTCTTAACCGTACAACAAACTTCAGGGTGACTGCGGAGTGTCCTATATTGCACTTTCTCTGCATTTTTTCTCCTCTTTCTGTTTCCTGTGACAAATTCTTGCCTTTCATCCTGACTTCTACACCTACTTCTTAGTTCTTCAAAGGGGCTGCCTGATCTTCTAGTGTAAAGCAGCCACCACCCAGCACTCCAGCTGAAATCTTCAGAGTTCCCTTACTTCCTACAGTCCAGCAGTCCCTCATGATATTACAGCCACTCCTCATTATAGGCGAACTAAATATGTGGTCTGCACTCACAAACATGCTTACAAGTGACTGTGGTAATGTCTTTAGAATGATACCAGTGTATCCTAAGTCGGTAAATCACTTTTTGGGGCCCCATGCTCGGCACATCACAGCTGCCCCAGCATGTTAGGAGCTTATTAATTAAAGAGACACTACAGCCAAAATTAATAATGTAATCATCGGTACATCTGTGGTAAACATGACTGCTCACATCCTACAGCAGTGCTGCAGTAGAGAGAGTGAGATTTTTTGGTTTAAACACTAAGCCTCCCTTCTGATGATGTCTAGAAGGTAGGATGGACTTTTGAAAAACTACAACTGCTGGAGAGTGGACTTCTGGGGGCAGACTGTTTTTATTTATATACTTGTTGATGAATGTAAAAGGAAGGTTGATAGCTAACGTTACCAGATGCTGAATATCTTATCACAGCCATTTAACTGTAGTTTTCAAAGGATCATCACAGTGAAGAGAATGGACTTCTCAAATGGCAGAAATGACTCATCAGATGAAGAGGACAGCAAGCTAAAAGCTAAAGTTCGCAAGGTAGCTGGCTAGCTTACCTCAAAGTTGGTCTGTAGTGTCAATTTTGTGCTGAATAAGACAGAAATCACTGTTTTCACTAGAATTTTGTTCAATAACCGAAGTTTATTGTATTTATGAGCCTGTAGATCAGTAGCTATGCCAGGGGTCGGCAACCCAAATGTTAAGAAGAGCCAAACCACCTTGGGAGCCACAATATTTAATGTTTATCTTACCATCTGGGGTTTAAATATGTCTCAGTATGTGCTAATGTTTTAGTATAGGATAGAAAAAAAAGAATATATATATATATATATATATATATATAAACAAAAATGCAGGCTTACTCTGCTTTAAGCTTTAGCTCAGCTATAGCCGCTTTTCTCGTATCTCTGGCAGGAAACTTAGTAAAATGTCTCTAAACGTTCAACTTTTACAAGGCTGAAGTCGCTGTTCATTTGCCAACTTCTTGTTCAAATTTTCCTGTTCCACCTTAAATGGTGCAGCAGGTGAATGAGAAGCTTCGTGACTTTAGTGTTTGACAGTTTCTCGATGCAGATTATACGTATCAGGAAACCAGCCAAGCGCTTATAAATGCAAAGTCCATTCATCTCCAAATGATCCATTTTTGTCTAAAATCTTTCTCTTTGCCTTTTCATTAGATCCTAGGTAGGCGAGATTTTTGTCTGCGTTGCTATGGTGATCAGCAGTCTGCACACCAATCTTCAGAGTTAAAGGTTGGCAAATTAGCAGTTCTACATTAACTCCAGAGTTTAAGACCATTTATTGTTAAACTGTGCTTTATTTTACTGCAAAGGAGGATTATTTTATTATTACCTACAAATCTAATTCTGCTGTGGAGCCACAACAGAACAGTAAAAGAGCCCCATGTCGCCAACCCCTGGGTTAGGCTAACAATTGGTCACAATTGGTTGACACCACAGGGATGGATATATGATGTATTTGAGCAATGCATGCTGGGTATTGTAGTGAGAGAATACTGATAAACAAAAACATGAAAACTAGGGAGCGTGGCAGGCTTGGCAGGAGCCGTGCTTGCGGTAAGGAGAGACTTAATGTTTACCTAAGTTGTTTTTGTTAGCCTTGTGTCATTTTATGCTGAGCTGTGGTCTACCATGAACAGAGATTGTGTGGCTAGAAGTGACCTGCCTGCTATCGTGGCCACGCTGAGTGGCGGATCTGTATTCAAGTGTAACGTTTCCTGTGTCGTCTTCTTCGCTGATGCCACAATATTGTAAATTCTGTCAGACTGATGAGGCTGAGGGATATAAGGCTGGACTATAAAATATTGTGTAACAAAATAAATAGATCTTAAACACTAGTTTTATTCCCCTTTAGTGAGTTGAATCAGGTGTACTAGATTAGGGAATTCACAGAATGGGCATAGTTTGGGTTCACCGGTTGACAACTTGCCAGGATGTAGAAGTTGGTTGGTATTGGTTTGATCAGTGCAGAAGAGCCTTAACAATGTACTGGTACTAATTCTTCACTCTTCTACTACCAAACTTCAGTTCTATAGCAGCTAATAGAAAGCTAACGCTGCTCTATAGACCCTACAGTTGTACTCATCATAACACTACTATTCAAAAACTTCAAACATAGCATATACTAACCTGGTCTAACATAGTAAAAAAAAAGCTGACAATACTGTAACTTTCACAGTTATACTGATCTGCATGGTCTCTACGTTGGTCTACACAGTCAATGCCAATGTTGATGGGCTTCAGATGTCCATTATGAATGAATCTGACCGATCATCAACACGGATATACCAGGACTGAAGCAGAGGAGGGGGGGTGCGTCCGCGATGCAGCAAAACACTCCACAGACAACAGGCCGCAGCCACAGACACAATGTACACAACAATCCACGCTCGCCGAGTGAAGACACGCTGGCTTTCTGGGCTTTACACAACATAAATGGATGAGAAGCGCTGAGCAGCAGTCGATGGCTGTGCAATCACAAACATGAGAGCAGGAACGAGACATTCTTACAAGACAATCTGCAAGCTTTGAATGAGGACTCACATCAGTCACATAGTGCTCTATGTGAACGCATGTAATGTGTAGTGTCGAACAGTCAAATGCTTTCTGGTTATGATTTCTAATGATCTTTGTCAAATGACTGACATTTTACATGAGTGGAAAATGTCTCTGACTGGTTACTGACACTGTTGTTTGAGATGTCTATGGATTCAAATGGGTTTTTTATGGCTCTATGTGTGCGTGTGTGGAGGTCTTACGTGCTGTCGCTGTCCGGTGCTCTGGTGAGTACGCTCTGGACCAGACCAGTAAGACTGGCGATCTGCTTCTCCATGGCCTCCATACGATCCCTACTAGCAGACATAACAAAAATGAGCCAATGGACACATGCATGCAGTGTATCATCTCTGTCGTAACAACCTCATATCTCCAAAAATGATGACTTTGGAAAAAACTTCCTTGACTTTGAATGGAAGTTAATGGAACAATTTTTTTCCAAGCAATTATGAAACATTTTGTTTGGTTAATTCATCATGAAATTTTAACACAATATAAGGGCCACAGGTACTTTTCAATTCTGTAAAAAGGGAAAAAACGACAAAATACACCGATCAGGCATAACATTATGACCACCTCCTTGTTTCTACACTAATTTTATCAGCTCTACTTACTATATAGGTGCACTTTGTAGTTCTACAATTACAGACTGTAGTCCATCTGTTTCTCTGCATACTTTGTTACCCTGTTCTTCAGTGGTCAGGACCCCCAGGTACTATTTGGGTGGTGGATCATTCTCAGCACTGCAGTAACACTGACGTGGTGGTGGTGTGTTAGTGTGTGTTGCGCTGAGCTGAGTGGATCAGACACAGCAGTGCTGCTGGAGTTTTTAAACACCTTCATTGTCACTGCTGGACTGAGAATAGTCCACCAACCAAAAATATCCAGCCAACAGCGTCCTGGGGGCAGCGTCCTGTGACCACTGATGAAGGACTAGAGGATGACCAACACAAACTGTGCAGTAGCAGATGAGCTATCGTCTCTGACTTTACATCTACAAAGTGGACTGACAAGGTAGGAGTGTCTAATAGAGTGGACAGTGAGTGGACATAGTGTTTAAAAACTCCAGCAGCACTGCTGTGTCTGATCCACTCATACCAGCACAACACACACTAACACACCACCACCACATCATTGTTACTGCAGTGCTGAGAATGATCCACCACTCAAATAATACCTGCTCTGTGAGGGTCCATGGGGGTCCTGACCACTGAAGAACAGGGTAAAAGGGGGCTAACAAAGTATGCAGAGAAACAGATGGACTACAGTCTGTAACTGTAGAACTACAAAGTGCACCTATATAGTAAGTGGAGCTGATAAAACGGACAATGAGCGTAGAAACAAGGAGGTGGTAATAATGTTATGCCTGATCGGTGTATATAGGCTTTCAAATTGACATTGCAAAAAATGATATCTTGGTAAGTGGAATCATGTTAAATCTAATTGATGTAGCTAATATTTCTCATGATATGATTATGTAACTAATTTCTAGACATTATTTTGCTTGTGTTAAATAATTAATCCATTTGCATTAGCATTATTTCTTGAAACAAGCAATATTATCTGTAAATAGAATGAGACAGTTTCTCTAGTTAAAATTCCCTAAAACAAGTAAAACACACCTATAAAAAAGAACCTACAATCACTGTTGAATAAGTTCAATAATCTTATAATATTCAGTAACACTTGATCGTAAAGGACACATATTAGAGGTTTGTTAAGGTCTTGTTGTTTGTTCAATAAAGCCCAATTTAGACAGCTCTAAATCATGTATACACTGCATTAAGCTTCATTCATTATGCACTGTATTAGCACAGAATCAGGAGCCTGTTATGTGAAAAATATTAATCATTTGTTATGTGCAGTATACATTCTGTTAAGGCCTTATTATGCAAATTATCATATCTTATAAACTGTCATGTACCGTACGCTTCCTACAGGTTCTAGGCCATGTGGGTTCTGGAGTGTATTGCATTAGAGCTACGAGTTTTGTCGCTGTCCAAACAAAACCATGTATCTCCATTTTTGTTGATTTTTATTTTTCTACATCATTTCAACACACCAGCTGTCCTTTAAGGTGTGTGAAAATGTAATGATGATTGGACAAACTGAAACGCTTCAGAATCACTTGGAATAAAATCTCTACATTGACTTACATTAAAAGGTAAGAGTGTTTTTGCCTTCTCCTGCAAACCTACTATTTTGGAGATACTTGTTTTTCTTTGGACACTTCAAGATGTGTTCCATGATATAAAGTGCCATTTTATTCATCATTAATCAAATGATAAAAAGGCTGTTTATAAGTCAATTAGCATCACAAATTTAATACCTGTTCATTTCAGTTGGAAAACATTGAAAAGTCTTCCACACAAGAGCTCAAATTATCCACAATAGGTTGTTAAAATGGGCTGAACTTAACAATTCTCATGAGTCAAAGATGTTTCTTTTAAAATATGGGATGCAAATTAACTTACTGAAAACTTGTTTAGTGCTTTTTAGCCTCTAATTAATGATGAATACGAGTCTACTTTGGAACATGGAGCATCTCCTCTGCAGACTGAACTGCTCTTCAGGATCAATAAAGACAATCTAATCTAATCTAATATCTAAGTATTAGTGACTTATTAAACTCTTACTAGATCTAATTAATAAACTTAAGAAGTCAACTGATACTATTTAGAACCTATAGGAATCTTACTCTAATAAGACATGAAATTAAGTGATCATTTCATTTGTATCAATAATTTGCATAAAAATGTGCCGTAATTCGTGATTTTCACACAACAGACTTCCAGGAATGTACTAACAGAGCTCATCATGAATAAAGCTTGATGAACTTTTTTGAACAAAAAACAAGGCCTTAATAAAACTCCAAAATGTGTTCCTTAAAATAAAGCGTTACCTAACATTCTTACAACAATCTCAAAGTAGAAATATTAGATATACTGAACAGATCTAAGATGTTTTTATATTCCAAGATATGAATTCTGCAGGGTATCTACATCAGTGGTTCCCGACCCTGACTAGAAAGTAATAGTAAGTTTAGGGCTGGCTTAAATGATTAGAATACTCAAGTATTTTTTGTTATGTTGGTATTTGGCCCTCTGTTTAGTATTCAGAAGTTTTTTTCTTTTTTTAAGCCACAAAAATTTTAGCCCACAATACATTTTAAAAATAAATCAATTATTGCTGGTTTAGTTGAACATATCATAAATATATAAATACAAATTCACAAGTTTACTGCTGTATCAGAGAAGACTTCCTCCACATACTGTTAGTACAGCACATGAGCTGCTCTGCAACTACCTGAAGATTTGGAGACCCCTCTGGTGGAAATGCGTTGTGTGAAGAACAATTTATAATGTGGGTTGTGCTTTGAACCCCTTCACGAACAGATGAATCAGATGATTGTGAGAGCATTGAAAGAGTATTCAAAGAGAACTTAATCAAAAAAAGTCTTTTATAGTGCAGCATTAAATTTTGTTTAGAACGCTATAGAAAGTGCGAGTGTGTGATTTGAATGGATCTCTATGGAGTTCACACTTCACTCATGTGCAGGTTACAAAAAACAAGACAGATCAGAAGTGCTCATGTTTTGACAGTGTGTAAGAAGAGGATCTAGCACAGGCAGTGGATTGAAACACCAAATGGAAGCATATGTGGATGACTAAAAAACACTTTAAATATTACTTTGTTTTTAAGTTTTTTTTTGTTTTTTTTTGAGTATGTGTTTGGGTACTCGATCAGAACACCAACAAGTATCCAAAGCCTGTAAAATGCTGTTAGGCCAGACCTAAATGTTTATTTTATACTTCTATTTATGTTATATCTATACTGCACTTTTCCAAAGCTCAAGGTCACTTCATAGAGCATTGAGACAAGGTCAACAATGAAGCACAAATCACAAAGGAATACAAAAGAAAACAAGGGGGAGAGTGGAAAACAAGACAGCGCAGGTACCACTGGCCTGTTTATTTTGATGTCTTCCCTGCTGTAACACACCTGATGCAACTATTCAGCTAATTAATGAAACCTTTCCTGAGCGGAAGTTTGCATGTTAGAGCATGGCAATCACTGAACATGCAAGCCTGACCAGTGTAATGGCAAATAGTGTTTGGATAAATAAATAAACAAATAGACAAAATGTAAGGAGATGCATTGACCTGACTTTCACATTTAAATTAATTTTATAGTGTAAAAATTATTAAAACATATAGAGAAAATTGGACTCGGAAATTGGACTAGAAAAAATTCTTAGAAAAGATTTTTAAGATCTCAGATTTCTTAGAAAAAAAACCTCTATTTTTTTCCTGTCGCTGAAAATGTGTACTTAATGGTTGTTTTGACTGGCAAGGAAATATGTACAGTCTCAGACTTTTGCGCAGTACTTTAGACACATTTCTTCTGTTTTTGAAAAATGCATCAACAAATGGTGGGTGTAAAATTAGGTACTACAAAAAAGCCATGGACAACATGCAGTATTTGAAAAAAGGATGTGAGGACATGCCTCCAGTGTCCACAGCATAAATGATGCCTATGTCCAGGACCAGGAGTGGAAACCACTGACGTGCTTGAACTCAGACAAAAACACACAGACTTATCCTGCCTCTCACACAGGGTTGGGTGGTAACAGAATACATGTAACGGTGTTATGTAAACAGGATACATTAAAGGTAACTGTATTCTGTAATAGTTACAGAGAAAAATACAGTAATCAGATTACAGGTACATTCTAAAAACAGTGATTACCAGTAAGATTGCATTCCAAAAGCAAACTCATCGTTTTTGCCGAAATTCACTGTTTTATTGATAAATATGTTGCACAAGTTGTTTTAGAACGATAATATTTCTACCAGACTGATCATTTGACTTTGGCTTGATAACAGATTTGTAAGAAAAAGTCCCAGGAGGGCAATAACAATATTGCAATTGATCCAGTGTACTGAATCGTTCTACAGCAGCTGCTTGTTCCTTGTGTTTTAGTCTAAGAGTTTTCAGTCTTAGTGTTTTTTTTGTTTTTTTTTTATTTTCTTGAAAAAAAAAATCACTCTTTTTTCCTGTGGAGCAAAACTTGATTTCTGAACTTCAAAGATTGGGTATACACATCTAAACTCAAACAAACTGTACTGTTATGCAAATTGATCATTTTTATATTTTAAATATTTCCATATATTGCTCCACTTAGGTTTCACTGTAAAAAATGGAAAGTCTGCTCAACATAAAATGATACAATAACTGTTCACACAACTCAAACATCTTAGTTGAGTCAAAAATCCTCACAGCTACTGGTTCAAGCCTTGCATCTCAGTTAGAAAAACAAAATCACACATTTTTTCACTCAATTTCCCCACTAGCTGGCACCCCTATCACACAGCCCCATCTGGCATATTTTCTTCATGGGCTTCCAGATGGAAAGCTGTGGTATTGCTGGGATTTCAAACTCACAATCTCCTGATGTTGGGATGAATTATTAGACAGTTGAACCACATGAGATTAGGCAACTCTTTGAAGTTTAAACAACTATTGGTTTCTCCAGTGTATTAAACATGTATGGACATAAAATTCCTGAGTGGTGCAGTGGACTAAGCTATCGTCCCAACAGGAGGTTGTGAGTTTGAGCCCCAGCAATGCCATAGCCATTCATAAGTGAGTACCCAAGAGGAAAAATGTCTCGCAGGATTGTGTGATGGAAAGAGTCCTGGCTAGTGGGGAAGATGAGCATAAAAAACAAGATCACTTTATGTTACTAACTGAGATACAGAAGTAAAAGCATCAACAGAACTTTTGACTTAACTGAAAAGTTTAAGTTGTGTGAACTCTGGTGTCCTCAGGTTGAGTCAACTCAAGAAAAGTAATGTAATCAGTTACTATGTCATTTTGAGTTCAGCTGACCTCTCATTTTTAACAGTGTTGTCTAATATCACAGAAATTTACGCCAATATTTCAGTCACCTGTAATTTATCTTACTGATTCATAAAACAGTGCAGTGTTTTGTGTTTGGCATGTATTAAGTTAAATTCTTGTTAAAAAGCCTTGTTGAAATTATTTTTCTTTTTTCTTTATGTCTTAAATTAAAGACAAGTAATCCAAAAGTAAGGGAAAGTAATACCAATTCATTAATATAGCGACCCTTTGGATTAGGTAACAATGGCATGTTTTAACAGGTAATCAGGTAATCATCTATACTGGAGTACATTTTTAAAGTAGCCCTCCCAACCCTGCATTACACACTAAGACACTAACGCATAGACCTCCTTCCACTTACCGTGTGTCCATCTCATTCCCCGCCAGCGGTGACCCGAATCCAGACGCACTTCTGCCCACGTCCCCCAATGGCTCAGAGCTAGAGCCGGGCCTGGACTTGGGGCTCTCCACAAAGACAGACGAAGAGGCCGAATCCTTGCGGAAGCTCTGCCTGACGGGCGAGCCACGGCTGGGTGGTCCAGAGTACGAGTCCCTGTCCCGCAGCGGCACGTCCGGGACCTTCTGTGGGGACGATGGGGGCAGTCTGAAGCCCATAGTCAGAGTGGAGGAGGCGGGGCCATAGGCATCTGAGTATAGTGACCCTCCAGGCTTGTAGAGCTGGTCCTCCAGATCCCCCTGCAATGCTGCAGCTGAATACGTGCTGAGCGACCTCACTGATCCCCGTCGGTAGAGACCCCCAGACACAGGGAAGCTGAAAGGGTCAGCGATGGTAGCCAGAGACTGCGTGGAGGCAATGCTAAGCCGCCCCTCGTGAACCAGGTTGTAGGGGTCAGCATAAAGGCCCTCGTTCTTAAGAAGCACCATGTTCTTGCCGGACACTTCCTCGTCTGGCTTAACGTCCCGGCGCTCCAGGATGGCGGAGGGAGATGCCGTTAGGCCCCCAGCCCCTGGACCATGGGAGGGGGACGGGTGGTGCCCATGCTGGGAGCCGCCCGATGGGTGAGGATGGCCTGGACCACCAAACGAGGGAGGTCGACCACCTCCACCGTAGGATAGACGAGAGCGTGAGGGGGAGGAACCGGACGGTGACGAGGTGGAGGACGGTAGTGTGTTCAGACGACGAGTAGGTGACGACTCACGAGACGTGTACACCATCTCTCTCTGCAAAAGACCCACACAAATAGAGATAAAGCAGCTTGATTGGTCCATAAACCTACATTCATTGCTAACATTAGGTATAACAGACACGCCATCTCTCTCTGTGAAGACGTAGAAAAAAGACACAGCTGGGTAGTCGATGCCACAATATAACCATTTCTCCTAACATTGAGGAATAACAGCAAATAAATTGGAGAAAAATATAGCAAACCACAAACTGCTACTGCACTATATGTTCTTCTGTTTGTTTAGAAGTGAGGTGGTATTTTAATGTATTGTCATCAGCATAAACTATAATATTTTTCTTAGGTAACGCCAGCTGACTTAGCTAATGCTAGTTGTCTTTAATCTAACCACTCAGGCTAGCTAGCTTAGCTACAGTAATTAGCCAGAAAACAAATTTTGCTAGACTAGCACTGAAAATAGTGAAGTTACCGACAGAATGGTAAGCTAGGTGTTAATTTTACCATGGTGTTACTTAGCCAATGTTAGTGCTAATCGAGCTAACGCCATGGCTGTTTGGGTGCCCTTTCATGGTTTACCTGCCCATAATTACATCACAAAAACAAGCTGTTAAGTTGAAGCAATGGAGAGAGACCAAAAGGTTGTTATCACTGCTCTATAACACATAGGCCTGCTGTACAGAGAGTCACAGAGGCTATTAAAAGTAATAGGGAAAAGTGTCCTTCACGGAGTAGGTTTGCCGTAAGCTGTCCTTATAGATCTTTACAATTGGATTGTACAGTGAGCTAACAGTGATGATTAGTTTCTCCTTCATCTTGTTTGTCCTGTTTAGACTGAAGCAAGACTGAAGCCCCACCTCAGACCATCTCACACTGGCTGACTCACTGTTACACAGAGAGCTTCAACTTTTTTAACAGGCAATGGAGTGTAATTGTTGCATACTGCCATGTGTTGGTGTCTGTCAATGCACTGTTCCTGTTAAAAAACAACGGAGAGAGGTGTGTTTTTGATGGATGCCAAAATGTCCTTTTTGAATGTGGCCTAAGAGATGAGCCACCAAACAAGGAGGAGATGGATGAGGGAACTCCATCTCAACTGTGTGCTCTCTGCAAAAAATCCACAAGTAGACAGAGAATCTCTGTTCTCACAGAATCAGTTCATGCTAAACTTAAGGTCCAACTGATACACTGGTTGCCAATAATATTAGCCTATCTTGGCATATATTTACAGATAAGACTGTAGGTTGTCGGTACAGGCCAGAATTATTGGCCAACTGAAATACACACAGACACATTATCTATACCGCTTATCCTCCTGGGTCGCGGGGGGTGCTGAAGCCTATCCCAGCGGTCACTGGGCTGAAGGCAAGAAGCACCCTGGATAGGTCACCAGTCCATCATAGGGCAGACACTCACAGACATATACAATCACACCAAGGGGTAAGTTAGTGTGTCCAATCGGCCTGATTGCATGTTTTTGGAGTGTGGGAGGGAACCAGAGCACCTAGAGGAAACCCACGCAGACAGGGGGAGAACATGCAAACTCCAACACAGAAAAACCCTGGTCACCCAGCCGGGGAATCGAACCTAGGCCCGCCAACTGATATACCATTTACTATATATTGGGCCTTAATAGCAACACCCTAATCAGTCACAATATTGCAGATAACATACCGATAATTACATAATTGTTTGGTTGCAGCATTGCAAACTTCAAACATTATGGGAAGCTCTGCCTCCACGGCTAGTAAATTTATATCATTTAAAAAGTGATTTTCTTCTCATTGTTTAAGTTTAAGGCTTATTTTTTTTGGTTAAAATTGAAATAAGTAGCATGACTAAGTCAGAAGAAAAACGTGAACTAAAATATGGTGAGTGTCCGCTGCTGTGAGCCACCCTGTAAAGCTTCAAATAATAATTTAAAAGACAGAGGCATCAGGTCGGAATTTAGCGGGAGTTTCTCGGACCCCGTCTTTATGTATTAACGTCACATGCACAGGCTCGGGAAGAAGGCCAGGCTTGATGTTTAGGTCTCAAATGCAAAATCGACATTATATTGATGAAGATATGATAACAAATGTAGGTAATTCACTCACATCCTCAGAAAACACGTCCTTTATCAAGTTCTATTTGAATACTTTGAATAGTCGTTCAACCTGCTTGCAAACATCAGATTTATCCGCTCGGCGAAGTACAACCAATGTTACAAAATGTTCTTCCACATGTTGTGTGCAATTACACATTTCCACCAGAGAGGTCTCCAAATCCCCAAATCTTACATAGTGTAGCTTTAAGAAACTTGAGCACTGAACTGGGCGTCATATCAGGCATTAAAATATAGCTTAAACAAAAGAATGAACTAAAAACACCTAAAATATAAAGTTGAATTTATATTCAGTACTGATACTGGTTTTCTTAATATCGACAGCCATAATTTTTATATACCGGTTGGCCCCTAGCTGCAGTACAAGCACTATCAGTCACTTACATTCACTATGACATATAGGCCTACTGTACAGGTGGTACAAATCACAGAGGAGATTAAAATTAATAAGTGGAAACAACCCCAGTGGGGACTTCATTTCCCTCTTGAGTGACACAGGTACATGGTTGCCATGGATACGAGCATGAGTGGCAGTGTCGTGTTCCGCAGCTGTGGGCCAAGCTGGCCCAAGAAAGGTCTGAATGGCATTCATTCTGCTGCAGTACGAAGAAACAGAGAGAAACAGAGTGAATGGAGAGGAGACTGATAGAGAACCTGGTGACTCAGAGGTGAAACTAAAGAGTAAAAAAGACCTACATTGAGGCAGGCAGGTAGATAGACAGACAGAAAGGGAGAGAGACAGAGCAGAACGTGTGCTGTGAATGAAGCTCCAGACTTTCTGCTTCGCCTCCTTCTTTTCATCAAGGTAATTCGACTCTAGAGAGCTTTTCAGTCTATTCAGTGCTTTCACCCAGCCCAGTCTGAGCCACTGCCATAACATCGGATAACATGATGCTGGTATTGAGATGCGCTCTGAGCTGAACACATTTCTCCCACTTACGATGAGCAAAGAACCTTACGCCGAGTTTAACTAGCTGCTTATTCATTCACCCCAACCAGAACAAAGCCGATACTCTGTTAACGCCCGCTGTTCTTTTCTTCCACAGCACCTCTTTCTCTCTTACTCTCTCACTCTCTCTCTCTTGCATAGGCAAACTTTCCCTCTTTATAATGAGATTTGTTCAAATCCCTGAAAAAAAGTCTTTTGTGCTTGTCCCTTCGCCTCACATCCTTTCTTGCTATTCCAACCTAAATGCTCGTTTTTCTTCTCTTGCAGATTCACTTACATTTATCTTAACCTCTTTTATGCCTAATCTCAAAACATTTATCTTATCTGTCTGTCCATTTTCTCTCCTCTTTCCGTCTGTCCTCCCACAGTAGGGCTGCGTGATACAGACAAAATGGCACAGAATCGTGATTATGTTGCTAAAGATAACCTTGGGGTTTCTTTATGCTATCTAAAAACACAAACGTCACTACATTAAAGAGGCACTCAAAGCCAAAGTCAAGATTGTACCCATCACTACAGCTGTTGTAAACATGTTTATGCCCCCTGCAGTGGAGCCACAGTAGTTCTGTAGTAGTAGTGACTCGATTCCTCCAAACACCTACAAAAATACTTCTGGAGCATCTGTGATTGGCCAGGATGTTCACATTGCAAAATAATACTAATAATAATAATAAAAATTTGTGGGGCTACTGAGTGGTGCAAGTGCTGGCTCAATTTCTGGGACACGACAAGTTTGATCCCCAGCAATGCCACAGCTGTCGGTGGCCTTGAGTCTAGGAGAGTGTAACTGTCCTCGCGCTCTCTGTGTAGGTAGGACCAATCTAACAGAATTGGCTTTTGTAATATTAGTACTGTGAAGGCCAATATTGTGGTGGTGAAGATACACCGTACAGCTCAGAGGTTCATCATTATTGAATGTCTACTCTTTTATTGAAACAAGCAGAAAAGGCCTCTGAAAAATAGCAAGAATGGTGAGGAAAGGTCACTTCAAGCCACACAACTTCAAGACATTAAACCCACACTAACTAACCCACAGGCCAAGACAACAAAACACAGTCAACACAAACACATCTTAAACTAACGAATGGTAACATTAACAACAACAAATGTCCTTTAAATGAAGCTGGGGGTGGGGGTTGGGGGATAGGGGCATGTGTGGTGCAGCTTTGCATATACTGCCCCTAAAACCCCTTCTGAAACACGGAGTAAGTGGCAGACGCCACAGTACTGTAAGGTCAGTATCGCAACAACAATTAAGAAACGATACATCGTACAGACCACAGTTCAGTCAGTACTGTGAAGCCCAATATTATGTTCATGTTTAACAAACTATTCACTGTACAGCTCACAGTTTCATCAGCACTGCAAGATCAATGCTGTGAGAACAATTAAGCTCTTAAGGGGTCATGGACATATCTTGTCATATTTAAGTGTAAAATAGAGATACAACAGACTATCTAAAAATGTTTTATATCACCTGATTCAACACAAACTCAGTTTTTAAGGAATACCGGTTATTGAACACAAATATTACATGTTAGACATGTTAGTTATGCTCTCCTGGATTCCCGGCTATGGACGGCTGTGGCATAGCTGGGGATCAAACTTGTCATGTTTACAAGATGAAAATAGTATGCAAATGCAAAAAAGGGCAAATCTGGGTTAAGATTGGGCTAAAGATCTTGCAGTGTACGCCCAGCTTAAGGCATTTCATGGATTTGGGCACTATATATGAGAGCAGTTGACATGCAGCCTGTGTTGCGTTACAGATTGGTCAGAGGAACAGAGAAGGAATAGTGTCACTGTTGGGGAAGAAAGTGCCAGACACTTCAATGTTTGTCAAAGGACTGGTGCTTTTGTACTGATGTGACCGTTTCATTTTGGGGACGTTTCAACTTCTGGTGTTTACATAAGTTGTAGAGGTGCGGAATAGAGAACTAAACAGATGCTCAAGTGTGAGCACACACACATGCACACACATACTCTACAAATAAGTGAACAGAAAGCATTTACATCCTGAGTCAGACTCAGGCGAGTTCAAGGGGTTTGTCTGGCAGACTCAAAGACGGAAACGACAAATCTCTTGCTCCGAGCGAAGGAGGAACCATTTGATGAGCAAACTGTGGCTAAAAAGCAAATGCATTTCAAAGAGAAAGCATCACCTGCTTGTTTGGCAATTAACGTCTCATGCATTAACAGTCAGACACTGATTCAAGGTGGGAAATATACAAAGCTCCAAAAGTTCCCTGCATAACTTAAGTGAAAGAACACCAAACATGCTGTTTTTTAGGACAGAAATGGTAGCAGCTCTGAAGAACGTTTAAAGAAGCAATCATAGTGGGTTCGGGGGGGCTTGCTTGAGATGCGGTGTCATGCTGGAGTATCTCACATGCCTACTGGTCCACTGTGGACTTACTAATGGGGACACGTGAAGACGAATGTTTGTCTCTTTCTTTTTTCTTATTTCCCTGAAACGTCTCACAGAACCAACCATAACTTGACCATTGCTGGCAGTGACCATTAAAGTGGACTTTAGCTGAGGCTCAGAAACTGCTCTGAGCCTGTTTTACACCAGACGTGATAACTGCGCTGCTTGATGTCTCACACCACATAGCCAGCACCAGCGCTACCTAATAAGCAACATAAGCAGCAGTTTAGGGGCCCTGGACACGAGGGGGTCCTCTAACAACTTCTGGGTTATTACAGTGCCATTATGTTGCCTAAAATGCTCGAGTGAGACGAGAAAGCAACTGGTTAACCTCTTCAATGGTGGGTCCACAGGTAGGCCCAAGACCCTCCTATAACCTAAGAATAGCTCAGCCAGCTTGCACTCCCTGTAGTTACTGAATAATAATTAGTATGTAATAAGCCTGGGATTTTAAGGGGTTAATCATGTCTCAGAAAAGAATGCACACGGCTGGAGCTGAAAAACAGAAAGGAAGAAGAGAAGAAGAAGAAGCAAAGCTTAAAAATAAAAGTATGATATTTTCATGTTATGCCACTTGTTTTGGCTTGATCGCGCATGTGAAGGAATAAAAAATGCTTTGCGTCTATTTCTGATGCTTACCACGCACAACATGCTGACACTTTCTAACCAGAAAACATTCAGTGTTCTTCCTGAATTGTGCAGTGCAATTCAGAGTGCTCTGATGTGAAATGATTCATTGTGGAGAAACTTGCAGACTCTGACTTCTTTACAGTGGTGGTGATAGGAACCAGGGGTCTCCATGTCTACAACACAAATATAGCCACTTTATTTAGGATCTAAAACCACCAGTTAATCTACACGTCTTCTGAGTTTGTATATGTAATGTTAATGATGGTGAAATAGTGGTAAATTGGAAAAAATTATGTTTTTTGGGGTCCTGTTTTGCCTATTAACGTCCTGCATGTACTTCTCCACCATGAATGATGAAGTCAGTAGGTTTCTCTAGAATGGAGCATTTCACACCAAACCGTTCTAAATTACTTTTTTTTTACATCTCAACCATTTAATTATGCAGAAATTGTGAAACGTTTGTGAAATTCCTCTTTAATAGCTATACATGCATAAAGTTCATTTTATCTGTAAACTGGATGGAAACATCTGCAGGTTAGTAATATTACCTTTTCTTTACTGAACAAAAAATAAGAAAATGCTCTTCGCTCTTTATTAAGTGCCTACAATGTATTCAGGCCTTATGTCATCCATCTGGTGGTGCTTCAGCTCTCCACAGCATTAGTGGACTCTAGGAGAACCCTATGTCCAAAAACTCTATACACATGCTTTTGTGGATCTACCACCATGCAGAGTTTAGAAGTTACCCTCATCCACCAGAGCTGTTTTATTATCTTCAGAAGTCCATAACTAACTAAATGAAATGTGTTAGATTGGGGTTGGTGGTGACCTTCAAGAACACTCTTGGCTAAAACTATTAATTGGTATAAGAGGTTTATATTACACGGACGTTGTCTGATCCTTCTAAGGTTCATCTCTTTTTCACAAATGCTTCTTTGAGAACCATCCATTGAAAGGTTCTTTAGGAAGACAACACTGGTTCTTCTACAGCATTGCTCCAAAAAAACCTTTAAGAAGAGAGACAGTAGATCTCCAAGAGGATAGTTGGTATCCATGCACACACATGCACTCACCCTCAGGTCACCATTGGCCAGGTGTGCCGCAGTGGTGTAGGAGCTGTAGACGGGTTCCTTGCGGTAAATCTTGATGATGCTACGGTCCTGGATGTCCCGCACGTCCTCCAGCTCGTAGAAGACGTTGCGTGCCTCGTCCTTGATCAGGATGGCCGTGTTGGGCGACTTGAGCATGCTGGCCGTCAGCTTCTGGGGGAACATGCGGACGATGAGCGCATGCAGGGTCTCCAGACTGCTCAGCTCATGGGTGATGTGCACACGCCGAGTCTCGTCACCAAACTGCAAGAAGAGAACGCCTAAAGAGAGAGAGAGAGAGAAAATAATACTTACAAAGGTTGATCATTTAGAGAATTAAAACCAGGTTTAGGCTAAAAAGTGGACCAGGCATTTTTGATATTTATAGTACAAACACCATGAATATTCACTTTAGGCAGAGTTTACAGTTATTGCACCATATTTGTGCACTGATAGAAATAAAGGTTCTGTTCAGGCACATTTTTCGTTCATCAAGGTACAAACAATGTAAACGTTCCCTCAAAGGTACAACAGTGGTTTTAAGGCCCAACTGTGTACCTTAAGTAAGTTTTTGGTGAAAAGTACACATTTGTGCCTTTTCATAACCGAATGTTTTAAAACAGAACAGTAAAATAAAAGCCTGGAGACGAGACGGGGTGTGTGGAGTCAATACAACTTAGATAATGTCTTTTCAGTGGATTATGGTACAATTATGTTCCCTGACTAAAGATACTGAGATGTAACCCTAAGGGTACCACCCCAGTGACAAGAGGGGGACTGCCCCAGTGACAGTTTACTACCTTTATTTCTGAGTATATAGGTGACTTCATCCTAATTTACTAACAGCAAGCTACTTTTACCATGGTCAGATGTGTTAAAGGGACAAGTGGAAAGATCTGACCATTGTGAAATCTGTTGTAAATATGCCTACTAACATTCTACAGAGGTGCAGTATTAGGCTCGGGGGTTGGGTTTTATGGACAAAAGACCAGAACAAAACCCTTTCAGATGTTGTATCTTGAAGGTGAGACGAACTATACGCTCTTTGGGGCAGGTACAGGTGGGCAGGCTGCCAGCTGGCTAATGTAGAAGCAAATAGATAATGTGATTGCTAGTAAGCCAAATATCACTTCTTTAGATATTAGCCTCTTTATCAGTGGGCTTCCTTATTGCTGTGGAGGGGATTTCTGATGGATGAATGGTTGTGAATTCTGTCAAACCGAAAAGGCTGAGGGATGCAGTGCTGCACTACAGCATTTTACGTAACATGACAAATAAGATATTGAACTCTAGCTTTAGGCTAGACGGGCTCTTTCATCAAAGTCAGGTTGTTTAGGCAGTGCTTAGCTCTTTGGACTTCCTCATGGCCTGTCAGGAAGTCCACATCGGTGTAACAAAAACAGCTGACGCTATAAAAAGAGGATGCATTAGGCTTAAAGATCTGCACACGCACAGTGTACAAACAACAAAATGTGTGTAAAAAGTTGATGCTCACCTGCGTTCATAGTATGAATAAACATGAAGTTTTCAAACAGCATTATATTATATTATTTATTATTATATTGCATTATTTAGTATTCAGTAGTTGTTCAAAAGGGATGGGAAATCTTGTAGCCACTGTGGATTAATCAGGACATGAGCTAATGCTAGAGCTAACATGTTAACGGCAGATGAAGGGCAGTTGTTATCTTCTACATGAAGCAAATTATTTTCTACTCAGTGAATGATGTGGAAACAGGTTGAGGAAACACTGAAAACAGAGAAATATCTTTTCTAATGTCAGCTATCATAGTTATCCTAGCCGCACTAACGTACTTCGGACTTTGCAGTCATGTCTGTGGAACATTAAGGCACTTGCGTGTGTAGTAGCATTAGCAATGCAAAATAATACAGTGGTAAGACACTTCACTGAGTGAGAAGGCACTGAGCTGCCAATTTATTAGATATATCTATCTTGTACCTCTCCGTAGCCATTTTTCTTGCACACCTACTAAACACTGACCTGAACATCATGTTGCTAAGCTAAATGTTGAAATGTAACTATAGTACCATTTATGAACCTTTTGTACAGTGTCAATTTTTTTCAGTATCAACTTTTACCATTTACAGTTCCACATTCCTCAGGGAATCTCGCATCTTATGATGTTTTATTTTTGTTACACCAGCAGTCCGAGCATTATTTGTTTGCCTTTGTTAACTGACATAACAGAATCGGGCAGTTAGTGGTTTCCTCCAAGCGTATTGATCTGTCCAATGACGTTGCATTAGCAAGGCAAGTGAAGTTTATTTGTATTGCACTGTTCATACACTGCAGTCATTCAAAGTGCTTTGCAAATGAGAAAATACAGACATAGCATCATTTGAAAAGATGCAGAGGCGCTTCATGTTAGAGATCTGCACCCCTGTGGACTCCCGTGGGACCCTTGGGACCCTTGGGACCCGCCACAGTGTCTTGCGCCGCGGGACTAATTTTCAGTGTTGTGCGCAGGAACAGGCAGGAAACCAGCCCACTGCAGGAGGGAGCAGGCCAAAGCATGCACTAAGAGAAGTTCTGCAAATAAATGTATAGCCTAAATAAAGTAGAGCAATCACTAAATCACTATATATGTATATATATGTATATATATATATATATATACATAACAACAGAAAATGACAACAGTAAAAAAGTTAAAATGAATAAAGTTATTCTAAAGAGTTGTGAAGCAGCCGATCACATGAACAACACACAAATTCTCGTAGCTTATAGATAAGGAGGAGCCTTCAATTCGTTCTAATGATAATAATAATAAGAGGATAATGAATTGGTGAATAGATTTTGTCAAATATTGGATGTCAGTTTGCCTTGATGGAACTGTGCAGGTGGGAGTGGGACAAAGCCTTTCGGTTGTGGGCTGGAGTGGGACAAATGCTTCTGATTTTCTGCAGTAGCGGGTTGAAATCTTGCGGGAGCGGGCAGGAGTGGGACTGAAGAAACAGTGCCGCACAGACCTCTACATCATGTGTCTCAGCAGAAGCACATGCTAGCCTTCATGCCCTTAGGTTGGAAGCATTGTGTGATAATGGGAACCCCTGCTAGCAGTGGGTGGAATTGATCACGACTACATTGGTAAATGAAAAAACAAGTATCTAAATTTTTTTACATTTACATTGAAAAACTGGCATTTTGGAGATTTTTCTTTGCACAGCAACGATGTGCATTTTGTCCTGGTGGAACAAGCTTGTCTTAGACATTCTTACAATTAAAATCTTCCTGAAAATTTATGAAACAGAGCATTAAACCATGGGACGTACACTTAGCCTAATACTACTTTATTGCAGAAGGGGGGCATTTAATGTCAGTTCACTGTGGTCTTGCACACTATGCCTTCGCACATTAGAGAAATGGGACACATTTGGACACTTATTGGAAAATATGTTAACACACACAAACCCTAAGTGTGGAGACAGACCAACAAACCCTCCCCAAGACATCAATAAACCCTTAAGACCTAGCTGTCAGGTAACAGCGGTTTAGCATCCCATGCTAATCACAGAAAAAATTATAGCCTAGCACAGACAGCTTACAGGACAGTAACTTAAGAGCCTCTATATCATGCTTTGCTGCTAATATGAAAGACAATACAAAGTGAAAAAGCAGGGTGATTCATGTAATAAAACACCAGAGTGGACTAACCATGATTAACTGAACAGTAAATTCAGTTAACAGGAACACAATATACAGGCTACAATTACTGGCCTGTCCAACGAGGTGGAAAGCAGTTAGCGGCTAACACCGCAATATAAGGTTATCTTCAGCTAATAGGCAATCAGAGAAACATCTTCAGTGAGGAAGTGTGTGCATATACACACAGACACATTGCCAATCAGGACAGATCTGCAGAGGGAATACAATTAAGACACCAAGGAAGCTCTAAAGCCTGGTCACACACTGCTCGAGTATAAATCATCTGTAGAACGTGTGGGACATTAAAATGATGCTTTGAGCCGTTCGGCCCAAAGCTACATGCTATTGTCACTTAACTGAAGGACATACATGCAGTGAAGGCCCACTCCCTCCCCCTGCAAGCGTGTGGGTAGTAGGCCTTAGTCCTTATGGACTCATCCATTACATTTGAATAGCAAAAATAGTCTAAGGAAATGTCCAGCTTTTTCATCCTAGTGCAGATGAAATCTGGCCAAGTTAGCTAGCAAAAAAAAAAAACTAGCTAAGAAAAAAAATGTCAAAAAAGTCAGAAAGAAAGAGGAAAACTGATGCTGAAAATCTGCATTTTGATGAACAATGGAACAAATAATTTATCTTGATAATATAATTTTGAAATGCTTATCCAGCTTGTCTAATCCACAGCGAACTCCAAAGGACTTCTCACTGGCCTAAAAACTTCCCACTTCTCAACTGCACTAAAGGCTGGTATAATAACCAACACTAAAAGAAGGCTAATCTTACCTATTTCCGCTGTGCAGCTGTTAGCTTTTAAATCTATTCTTATAAAGTGCAGCCAGATGAAGAATTTGACAGTGCTGCACTGCTGGTTACTCATTAACTAACTCTTTTTACCTGGCCGTTATTCTGTATTCTCTGTGATTAGACTGTTCTCTGCCCTCAATAGTTCATTGGAGAGCTAACTGCACATTTTCAATGCTGAATGCAAGTGCAACTTACCAGCTTTCCACCTTTGCTCCTCTTAAGGTTTAAAAAGCTTTAAAAGACTCCAAAAGTGAATTAAAAACGTTTCTGAATTAAACATTTCTATTATAAAGTATTCAAGGCTAGCAACAAAAAGTGCATCAAGGACCTGCAATAGTGAGCAACGACTAAACAAGGACATACAGTACAGTGAGCGAGTAAAATGGGCAATAGTGTAATTTCTTCCTAGCAATGTTTGTACATTTTTAGGAATATTATCTAAGATGCTTATTATTCTGGGTCACAGGGGGTGCTGGAGCTGTCTAACCAGGGAACTGAACCCAGGCCCTACTTGTTGTGAGGCCACCGTGCCGCCCTATAAGAATGTTATTTCATATATTATTTTAAGAATATTATTAGGAAAAAAGTCAATAAAAAATCAAAACAAAAACTCAAAAACCCACCTAACCTCCAATACCATCCATATAGCCCACCACCCCCCTCGACCCAGACTAGCCCACTGAAATCTGACTCTAACAAAAATGTAAAAGTTGCTAGCCGTGTGTCAACTTTGTTGTCACCATGCCAACTGCAGAGACAACAGTGATTGGTCAGTGAGTTCACAGCGCTGGTGAAAGTTTACAGGGTGAATAAAATGTAATAATTTTGCTAAAGATTGCAGTTTGTGTCGGAGATATCATCAGTTATACACGTCATCAAAATAATTTATTGACGAATAAATTGCACAAATAAATCACAATTGGCTTGTAATGGCCTTTTAAGCCTGGGTGTGTGTTCATGTGTTTGTATTTAGCCATTTTTGGGGACCAAATATACCCAGGATGATGGAATATTTTGATGTTGTGGGGACTTAAAAGAGGCCAAAGCTGATCTTTTGGCACACAAAGACAGAAATACAAGCTAGAGTGTGTGTGTGTGTGAGTTAGTGTGCTCTGAAGACAGTGTTTAAACTGGTCAAGACTGAGTGAAAATCAATGAGCATGTAAGCTGTCACGGCAGATGTATGGTGTGTGTTTGTGTTACCTGGAGAGCGCAGTTTGCTCTGGCTGGCGGAGCGGGACAGCGGCAGGCTCTGACGGAAGCGGTTCATGCGGTTGAAGCCCAACGGCATGTCGGCCTCGGACATGGTCTCCAGAGACTCGGCAGAAGCGTAGGACAATTTGGACGCCTGGTCAGCTAAACCAGACTGAGTAGACTGGGAGTGACGGGGACTGCGACTCTGTACAGGAGAGAGAGAGAGAAAGAGAGTAATACTTTAAAAAGAGCCCCTATGAGCGTCGCCAATGGCAACAGTGGCAAGGAAAAACTCCCTAAGAGCAAGAGGAAGAAACCTTGAGATGTGCTGTATTAATTCCTTGTGCTGCATTAAATCCAATCAAGCATGATAATAATAATATATAATACTCTTATTGTAGTGAAATATGCAGTTGATTAGTTTTCTATTAGTATTGATGACATCCATGATACTGTGGCATCTGCCACAGGCCGCATTCCTGTGGGAAGCTTAGAGAATGCGGCCATGCAAAGTGTCTCTCAGGAGGTGCCACTCTCCTGGTAGAAGAAAGACCTTCGCTGTACCTGTTGTTGTTATTGCAGTTGTGTGTGTTAATGTATTGCATTTGGGCTTTGTTTGAGTTTGTCCATTCTCCACGTGTGTCATGTCCTCCCGCATTACCCCCTCCCCTCTACCCTGGCTTCTTGTTGGGGTAGCGCTGGGCTGGGCATTTTTGCTGCCTCTGTTGAACTGCCTGTTCAGGATAAAAGAGCATTTGCCCATATTCGTAATGTTTCCTATGCGCTGATGCTGCAATATACTCACAAAAGCATATTGTGACAAATAGGGACGTAATTTATCATGATGACTATATAAATAAATATCGTCAGATTTCACAGCTCCGCTTACAAATGCAGTAAAACGAATAAAATGCAGACATTTTAGTGCAGTAACCCTGCATTGCCTAAACATTCTGCTCTTCCAGAAAACAATAAACGCATCATCAAATATCAGTTTGAAACAGAGGTAAAATCCAGATGTGTCCAATGCGGATCATTTCTTTAAGCAATTACTTGCTGATACAGATATGAGCTCTGATCATTGTATATTATTAGATATCACGAAGGCCAGCACAATTACATACAGTGCCCTCCACAAATATTGGCACCCCTGAGAAAAATGAGTTGTATAAATATTCTTTATTGCTTATCCTTTTGCTCTCTGGACCGAGGTATATACCCATCCATATTTATAGCAACTGGAGACCTCCTACATGACTACAAGTTGTTTGGGAGAGTTGCCAGAAGAAAGCCTCTGCTGTCAAGGACTGACAGATGTTACTGGAACTTTCAATGGGACCATGTTCCAAAACAGAGCCTTCTGGCAACAAACAACAGAGGTGTACACAAAGACAGCCATGTAGAAAAGTACCTTATCCCCGAGTGAAGTGTGGTGGTGGATATCATGTGGAGCTATTTTTCTTTCCAAGGCACTAGACCTGAACATGGTTTCATGGACTCCATCATGTACTAGCAGAAATTAAATCAAAACCTGACTGCCTCAGCCAGGAAGCTCAAACTGGGCCGTGGTCGGATCTTCAAAGTGGACCTCAAAATCGGCACAAAAATGGTTCACTGACCACAGAATCAAGGTTTGGCCATGGCCATCCCAGTCCCCTGACCTAAATCCCATAGAAAACCTTTGGGATGAGCTGAAGAGGAGAGTCCACAAGCATGAACCTCAGAGTCTGAAGGATCTGGAGAGGCTCTGTATGGAGGAATGGCCTCAGATCCCTTGACATGTGATCTCCAGTCTCATTAAGCGTTATAGGAGAAAAGCTGGTATCTTTGCAAAGAGAAGCTGCACGAAGCATTAAATGAAGGGGTGCCAACAATTGTGGCACACACAGATTTGAGGAGAAATTTTATGTTAAGATTTAAGTGTTTTCTTTTAATCATTGTATGTCTAGAGAAGGTTAATTTTTTATATCTTGAATAAAATTACAATAATAAAGAATGTTTAAAACCCGTCTTTGCTCATATTCATGGAGAGCACTGTAGTTGTAGGCTATATATATAATAATAATAGCAGATATATTCACACAGACTCTCTAACAGTTCAGGCTAACGGCTGATTGATAATAAGCCTTCTTATGCTCTCTTCTCTTCTCTCTGTTTCTCTCTTTTTCTCTATCAGACACTCTAATCCACAGATATCTCCTCATAATGAGAGAGGAAGCGCGTTACTGTGTGGTTCTCCGATGCTGAACAGTGGTTAATGAAGAGACTTCCACATCTCAGCACTCAGCAGTAATGAGCTCCCAGGATTCACTGGGGGAAAAGCTGTGAGCCGATTGGTGAAACAGGGCAGAGTCTGCAGAGCGAAAGACCTCTGTTAAACTGCCAAAAAGAGCAGGTCGTCCGCTTTCATCAGCTGTTTTTTACGCTCCCAGATGACTTCCATTCGTTTTCTTGCATAATGATCGTAGATATTATAATGAAATAATAATCAGATAAAAAATTCATCATATGCAATAATACGGTCAGAGAGGCTTCCTGAGGCAAAAAACATGGTTTACAAATACATACATACGGAGAGAGAGAGAGAGAGAGAGAGAGAGAAATCTTGGCAGAATTTCTATAAGAAAGACAAAAAGGCTAATTGTTTAGTTAAAATAGAAAACAAAAAAAATTAAAATAGGAGCAAAATACAATAAAATTAACCATAAATTTCTCTCTCCCTTTCCTTTTCTTTCGCTCTGCCTTTCTCTCTCTCTCTCTCTCTCTCTCTCTCTCTCTCTCTCTGATTGATGACCCCCTGTGTGACTGTAATTGTGCCATTTATCCACCACAATGACCAGAGTGGCCACACACACACACACACACACACACACACTCACGCACTCTCAAATGTCCTCCTTTACTAGACCATGCAGCTTCTCATCAATGTAGTGACCATTTCCAGCAAGTTGGACAATGACTTCCATTCTATTCTACTGCATTCTAAACTATCCTGCTCTATTCTGTTGATTTATGCTGTATTGTGTTACTGCATTCTTTTCTATTATATATTGTTGTGCTGTTTCATGCTGTAATGTATTCCAATATACTGTATTATGTTGACCAGTATTACATTTAAGCAATAGAACACGAGGGGGGGGTGGGTGTGTTATAGCGATAACACACAACCTCGAGTGTTCTATTGCTTTTATACAAGAATTAAATAAATAAAGTAAGAAATTAATAAACAGGGCTGTGAACGCGGCACTTAATATGTTTTAATGTGAGCAATTCCTTCCGCCAAATTATAGTTCCTTAACAAGCAGCTCGTTGCTACATCAGAGTAACGAGCTCCGCTCACTCGCTGCACAGCCGGCAGTTCGTTCTCCAGCTCCACACAGACCAACTGAGAGTTTGGGAATTTAGTGTGGTCTCATCTTCAGAGTCTGACCAAATCGGCTGTCGGTCAAATGTGATCTTAAAAGTATCCATTTTCTGTTTGTGGCAAAGTGAGAAGAAAAACGTTCAAATGGCTTGAGCGTCTCCTATCAAAGTCGTTGCTTAGCAATGGCGTCTCAGCGGAGTGATACAGTGTTTGTGAAAAACCCGTGATGTTATGGTGAAATATCAGCACGGTTAGAACGCTTCTCAACCAATCAGCTTGCGTGGCCGGAACTAACTGTTGTAGAATACACTGTATTGTATTATGTTGTACTATATTCTTTTTTTATTGCATTGTATTTTGTCCTATTGCTTTCTAATTCTATTCTATTTTATTGTTTTCTATTCTATTCCACTGCATTCCATTGTATTGCATCATATTGCATTCATTTGTATTTTTCCATAATTTATAGTTTTCTGCTCTACTGTATTGTACTGCTTTCTATTCTATTCTATTCTGTTGTTCTATTTTGTTCTATTCAATTATGTTCTGTTCTATTCTATCCTATTATATTCTGTTTTGCTCTATTTTGTTCTATTCTATTCTATTGTATTCAATTATATTCTGTTCTATTCTATTCTATTCTGTTCTATACTATTCCATTCAATTCTGTGACTGCAGATTTATTTGAGCTGCTATGAATGAGTATGTATGAATGTGTGTGTATGTGTGTATGAATGTATGAATGTGTGTGTGTATAAATGTGTGTGTGTATAAATGTGTGTGTGTATGAATGTGTGTGTATGTGTATGAATGTGTGTGTGTGTATGTGTGTATGAATGTGTGTGTGTATGAATGTATGTGTGGGTATATGTGCTTATGAATGTGTGTATGTGTGTATGACTGTGTGTGTATGAATGTGTGTATGTGTGTATGACTGTGTGTGTATGTGTGTATGAATGTGTGTGTGTGTATGTGTGTATGAATGTGTGTGTGTATGAATGTGTGTGTGTGTATGTATGTGTGTGTATGAATGTGTGTATGTGTGTATGACTGTGTGTGTATGCATGTATGAATGTGTGTATGTGTGTATGAATGTGTGTGTGTGTATGACTGTGTGTATGTGTGTGTGAATGTGTGTGTATCAATGTGTGTGTATGCATGTATGAATGTGTGTGTGTGTTCTGTCTAAAACATTTACTGTCCAAGAGTTAAATAGAGTCAGCCCTTGTCCTCTCACTGTGCATCACATTTAATCTAATAATAACTCACATTAACACACACACACACACACACACACACACACACACACACACACACAGATGTAGATGTCTGCTCCCTCTGCTGGAAAAAGATGGGCTCCAGCAGAGAAGAGGATAATCTTAACCAAAACACATCAGTACACAGAACTAAATGGAGGAAAAAAGAGAAGAAACAACTGAAGTATGAATTAAATTACATCTCTCTCTGTCTCTCTCTCTCTGCCTTTCTCTCTCTCTGTATCTCTCTCTCTCTCTCTCTTCTGTCTCTATCTCTCTTTCTCTCTGTCTCTCTATATTTATAGCGGTGTTTCTCACCCCTGGTCCTGGAGTCCCCCCTGCCCTGAACATTACAGTGTTTTATAAATACTCCAAACACCTGATCCAACTAATCCAGGGGTGCCCAAACATTTTGTCTTGGGGCCATAAAGAAGACTGAAAGGTTTCAAATAGAGTTGATAAAAATGTACAGTGCTGTGTAAAAGTCTTGGGTGTTTATGTTTGTAAAACAACCAAATATCAGTAGAATGAATGCAAATCAACATAAATACAGTAAAACGCAATTTTGTTTTATTTTCATAAAGT